GAAATCGCTCATTGCTGCACTCGGCATCGGCAAGACCTCGGCATAGTCTGTTCTACGGCGGGGTGTAGGAGTAACTATTTGGTCTTGTTGTTGCACGGCATAGTGGGAGTATGGGAGCACCGCGGCCGGCCGTCGAGGCGCCGAGGGGCTCGAGGGGCGCCTGGGTGCGCCACGCAGCCCCGGCACAGGAGTGTCTAGACACCGCCAGCGCCGTCTCCGTGAACCATGAACGTCTTTCCGTGAAGCGGGAACTAGGGGCCAACGTCGCTGCTGCGCCCGCTGCGTAGCAGCCAGCAAGCACGTACGTCTAGTTTCCTATCGTGCACGCCGATTCGCCGTGAGCGATAGGTGTTGGAGGCCGCCGAGGTGTGAGATTGGCTGCCTTGGCGAGGTACATGGAGGCGCTAGGGAGACCCGCCTGAAGCCAAAGGAGAAGTGAAGGCAATGGTGTGCCAAAAGCATTTTCCCGGCCGGCGTCGGCATCGGCCGTCACGCCGCAAACCCCAGTGCAGGTGTAGCAGGTGCCAAGCCAGGCCCTGGCTGCCCTGGCCAGCCCGCCGCCCGTCCACGATCCCACGAGGCAGCTGACGCGGCCGTCCCAGTGAGCTCGAGTGAGCCCCACACTCTACCGCCGGCGCAAAGCGGACGACGGTCCCCGCCGCCGTTCATTGGTCCGCATACCCAGCCCAGTCCTACCCCGCACTGAGCTCGCTGCCTGTCCTGACAGGCTTCGACTCGCACTCGAAAATCTTTCAGTGTCGGCGAGCGACCTCGCGACCTCGTCTATCGTCGGCTATGCCGCCGTTAGCGAGATTGCGAGCTCGACACCTCCGCAAGACCGCCGATGCCGCCCCCGTCCCTAGACCTACCCCGCATTTCGATCAGTTTGCCCGAAACAGCTGCGCGTCTGCTTGAGCATCCACCAGGCTTGCTAGCCAGGATGCAGGCTGACACTGTGGAGCTCAATCACCCCTTCGGATGTAAGACGATCCCACCAGGATAAGCCCCAGGATAGCCCAAGGATAGCCGCGATAGCCTGCCCCGAGCCATGTGGCCTTTCTCCATCAACTTCGCCGACAACTGGCACGCCGTCTCCCTTTCCGGTTATGATGCATGCATGCAGTCTCGCTTCGACCCGCCCCACACTCCCCTGCTCCGATCCCATTCCTGCTCCTGCATCTGACATCGTCACACCCTACCCTGCATAGCATCACCGCACCACCTTGCCTATCGGAGCCTCTGTCTCCATCATTTGCATTCTGGAGCTATGGTACAGACTCGTTTACGTGAATCTGAGTCAAGTGGGGGTAAATTATCAGTGTCGGGTATACCACTGCCATTACTACGACTCCTCCTTCCTTCTCGCTTCGAGCTGTTCTTCCCTATGACTGCGCGCAATGAAGTAAGATTAGGCTGGAAAATTATAGAACAAGACCGATCCGGAGTGTCAACAGGCGATCCGGAGCTGTGGGGGTCTCGTAGGTGAGTCGTGAATGTGTTGAGCAGAGAGAAACCAGATGGAGCGTCGGCTCGGCGGAATCTCGGGAGATCTTGTCAGATTGTGGGTGCGGCTGCTTCCTTCGGTGCATTCGCTGCTTCGCTGGTTCGTGTATCGCGACTCAGGGGTGCACTGGGGTGATTGCTGTCGAGATGCCGGTGACTTGAGGCAGTTACCGCCGGCGACATTTTCGGGTCGCCGTTGCACTTTCCAGGCTGGCAACGGCGGATGGAGGTGGGCAAAGAGATGTCTCACAGTGCGTGGACGTCGGTAAGCGGAATCGGTGGGGACACCTTCGGCGGCTGAGGTCGGAGGGGCGAGCGACGGATCCCCTTCGCCGACTCAAGTGACTCGAACGAACCGGAGAACTGGTCCGGGGTGCATGGCAGAAGGGGAGACGAGTTCGGCGAGGATACGAGAGACACCCTCTGCTTACCGGACAGCGCAGAGTACGTCGCGCCGCTCTTTTGACGTTGCAGCGGCGTGCCCATTCCGCGCGTGTAGTTGGGGAAGCGGACCATCGGTGGCTTGCTGCTCGGCGGTCCGCGCAAGGAGACGGGTGAAGTGGAGAACGACTCTTCGCTGGACGCCGTCATATTGAAAGCCGTGCTCACAGCAGTCGACATTGTCGTCGAGTACAGAGAACTACTGCTGTACAGGGAAGGCGACGAGTCGGAGGTCATCTCAGGCGACGGACTGTAGGTCCAGGAGGCGGACTCGACTGAAGGGCTGCTCGGAGGTGAGCTCGTCACCTGAATCGTTGATCGTGCGCGCGGAGGCACGGTGATTGTTAAGTCTCGACGGCCGTACATCCGAGAGCCGAAGCTGGAAGGAGGTGGCGGGGGTGCGGTAGAGCGGTGCTGGTGAGGCAGAGTAGATTTGCGTCGGCGCGCCTCTCCTGCCTCTCCCTTATCAACGGCGAAAGGCGAACATGGGGACGGCGGGGAAGACCGGGTCGAGAACGAGGTAGGCGAAGACGGACGTCGGACAGGAATCTCTCTGTTGGAAAGGCGGGAGAGGACCCGTTGGACTGCAGCGATGAGCTCTGGCTGCGACAACTGGGAGTGTCAGTGCGCTTCTACGAGAATATCAACAAATGCATCAGGCAACACTCACTTCGTTCGCCACTTGCTCAAGCAGCCAAGCGAGGCGAACGCGCGCCTCGGCATCGAACTCCTCGCCCTGAGCTACCATACGCTCCTCTTCGACCTGAACAGCCTGACCGAGGATCTGTTCGACTGCGTCGGGCGTGAGGTTCTTGCGCTGGGAGAATAAAGTCAAGACCATTCCGAGAGGCGTTTTGGTAGAACCAGGGCTGATGGGTTCGCCGTCCACGATGACCATTTGGCGGTGCCGGCGGGAGCGACCTTCCGGACTAGCAACGGTAGGAGTGCGGGAGCCGGCTCGGTCGATGGGAGATGTCGACAACCTCTGGTACGATCGCTCGCGAGCTGCCGCGGATGATTCGATGTCAGGGGGAGGCGAAGGCGGCGTTGAGATGACAGCCTGGAACTCCTTCGACGGACGGGCCGTCACCACGGGAGACGTGACTGGTGAGATGACTGGCGAGATAGAGAAGTCGACTTCAGGTGGAGACGCTTTGGGGATGGGAGAGATGAGTGGCACCGAGCTGCACTCCTGGGTGGTGCCGGGAACGGGCTTGCCCGCAGATTCCAGGTCAAACTCAGTGGTGCCAAGAGGTGCGGAAAGGGAAGGCATGGCGACATGGTGACGGTGAGGGCTCCGACGGGAACGAAGCTCCGGGACTCTGGTGTACATGTCGGGGTCTGAGAGCATGGAAAGTGACTTGGAGTGACGAGGGACAGTCTTGGGACTGGTGTGGTCGTTGGTGATTGGGCCTGAGGTTGCCTGGGATGGTGACCCGTGACCAATGGCCACTCGGACAGCCTCGCAGATGACAAAGTCGGAGATGGTTGAGCCGCGGCGTCCACCAGAGAGGGCGCTCGAACTGGACGCGAACGAGAAGTGTGACACCTCGGAGGACACCGACGAGCGCGTCTCGGGACCCGGCCCTACGAGAAGACCGGGCGACTCCAACGGCGCAGCACCGTCCTCCTCGCTCGCAGCCACCAACTCCTCTTCGGCCTTCAGTGTGGAGCCCGAGGCGTCTGGGTCGTGGGAGATGTCGGCCATGTACTGATCGAGGTCGAATGAGACGTCACGCTCATGGATCACAGGGACGGTGTCCAAGCTCGGCGTCGTGACATGAAGCCCGATCCTGGGACGCTCGACCGACAGCGTGTCGACTCTGGGGCGGAGAGGCACGATAGTTAAACCTAACTTGTTGCTCACAGCAGGATCTGGGAGCAGGAAAGTGCGACGAAGCTCGACAATGGTGTCGCGTAACTCTTCGCAGCCATGGAAGTGGTTCACGATTTCGGCTGCCTTGTCCTGGCCTGTGCCGAGGAACCAGCCGTCAGCGTCGGCTCCAAGGCGATATCGCAGCTCCAGGATCTGGTCCACCACGGCAATGCGCACGCTGTACGGATCCAACAGAGCTAACTGGCTGTTCGCCGCTTGGCTAGCACCTGCAGTTGGGGTCGGAGTGCCGCATGGAGAGCCATCGGGTGACGAACGTGGCACGCCGGCCTCTTGCCCATGCATTGGAAGGGGCCAGGAGATGTTGGCTGGCTCGGCGGGTGTAAGAAGCGTCGGTAATGAAGGACGGCGCTCCTCGCCGTTATTGAAGCGAGTGCTGTTACGAGGTAACCAATGGGGGAACGGCATCGTTCTGCGTTTCGTTGGTGAGATGCGAGGCGACGTCTGAAACGAGCGTGAAGTGACTCGGTTGCGGCCGCGAGGCGGGGACTCCTTGCCAGACAGCCGGCGCCCATCAAGACCTAGGGATTTGAGAACGCCTCCAACGGCTTCACGGTGGGACGCATGACTGAGTGTTTCGCGGATACTGAACAGCGCGTCCGCGACAAACTGCGGAAGCTGAGAAGTGTTCAACCGTCGAACAGCCCATGCGTGGATCAGCTGGTTCGCATCGAGATCGGTGCTGTCGCGGATGAAGGCTGGAAGGGAGTTGAGGCGAGAAGCGAGCTGAGCTGCAGAGACGAGGCCGAGTTGGAAGCGAAGGCGCTGAATGGTGCCAACAGCGCCGGCGCACTTGCTTGGCTCGTTGGCTTCAACCTGGGAGAGGTCAGCTTGAATGACAGCGGAAGAAACTCACGTCAGACACAATCTCGAAAAGTTTCTTCGACACAATGTCCACATCGCCTTCGCTGGAGTGCCACTTGTGGCCAATATATTCGAGCACGATCTCCAGCACTCGGGCCTCGATCGGAGCTCGCTCTCGCACGAGGCGAACAATGACATCAACAACCTGCTTGCGAGTAATGGCGTTCAGGTTGGAGGCGGTGTGGATTGGCGGGGTGTGCGCACCCGAGGGCGCGTCGGCCGCGAGGTCGTATGGGAACAAAAGTCGAGTTGGCGTGTGAGTGATAGCCACTCGTACATGGTTCACAGACGACTGCGGGTCAGCACATGTGCATGTCGATGGACAGGATCACACGCCACAATGCTGAGGACCACACCCGGCACAGCGGATTGCGGCAGGCGGTTGCTTGAAGCATGGCGTCATCCTCAAGGTTACTCACTGCACAGACGGCGAAGGTCGCTCCCTCGCAGTAGTCGCGAACTCGAACTCTGGCGATGAGCGAGCGCCAGGCGTATTCTTCCAGAGTTGACGTCGGGTCTGAGCCGTCACGCAGCGCCGTCCCCAGGGCCGCCTCACGCGCGCCGTTGACCATCTTGGCGACAAGTGGCAGGGGATACGTTGACGCCTCAGCCTCATCGATTGGGCCAGGCGCTCCAGCTAGACCGCGAAAGGGGTTGACGGGTAGGGGGATGCGGCTGCGAAAGCTGCGGAGGAGTCGGGGAGCTGGGGTGGGTGACGGATTCGGTGGAAGAGGAGGAAGGGTAAGAAACTTCTCGTCCGCGAAGAAGTCAACAGAGAAGGGTGCTGAAGCTTGGCCCGAAGTTGACCTCCTGGACTTCGGAGCTGGAACAGCCTCCCTGTGAGAGGCGAAGTTGGGAGGAGGGAAGATATCGCTAGGCGGTAAGGCAGCGCTGTCGTCGGGGAGGAAGGAACGAGAGAAGGGAGCCGAGAGGGAGTGTGATCGAGAGTGTGATTTGATCGAGGTCTTAGAAGGAGCGTGTTTGTTGAACGAGTGGTAGCGCTTGCGAGGCGAAGTGATCGAGGGTAGTAAGGAAGGTCTGGGACGGTTCTGGCCGCCCAGATCTGTTAAGTTGCCCGAGGACGGCCAGGACGGGCCAGCCAGCGCCTGGCTGTTGGCGTTGTTGACACTCCGAGGGTACGTCCGCGAGGACCCAGCGGGAGAACCGTTCGGCTCAGGTCGCACTGCAGGGATCGGGGAGGGCGAGGGAAAGGTTGACGGACGAGGAACGTGAGGAAAGGAGGGAGCTTGGTCTGAAAAAGTCTGGTGAGGGAGAGGGTGATGGCGGTGGCGGGCGCTAGCCGGGCTCTGCGAGGTCTGCGAGGTCTGCGAGGTCTGATCCAGACCATCGGGGCTATCGTCGCGACCCCTATGGACCTCGACGCTGCGCTGACCGCCAGGCAGAACACCCCTGCGCGCTCGCCTGAGACCATCAAAGGGTTCGAGCCGCTGTGGGGCCATATCGGAGGCGGTCGTCGCCATGGTGTGCTGATGTGCAAACGTCACGATGTCGGGACTTGAGCTCGAGGCGACTCCAGGCTCGCTGGTTCGGTCGTCGGTGGCGTAGAAATGAAGATCCGTCTCGAATGATGGTGGGTGCAATTACCGTTTGATGTGGGCTAGTGAGTGATCATGAGTGAGACGTTGACACTGGATCGGCCAGGGGGCGTAGACATCGACACACTTTAGCAGACCCGGCCTGCACTGTCTGGGGCTGGGCGATGGGGCGAACGGCACACGCTGCCAATGCTTGCGAGACAGCGGCGTCGCCGGCCACGCCGATGCACAAAGGCTGACCCGCGTTCCGTCGGACGGAGTACTCTGCGAGGTATGGTATCAGGTGCGCTGTTCCAGCTTGTGTGCTTGTGTGTCGCTGTCCATCAGCTGAGCAGCAGGCTGCCGCGAACTCTCTACGGACGAGGCCATTACAAACGTCGGCCAACAAGTGCTTCGCAACAACAATGCAGTCAGTCATGATCAGTCACCGGGACCTCTTCTCGTCACACACCCCAAGCGCACAGCTGTGAAGGGGCCGAAGGGGGTACACACCTTTGGCGGCCCCAGCGTCGATCCAAGCAGGGCATGCGCAGCACGCGCGCGGGACGAGTGATTGGCGTCTCGGACGACCCGCAGCTCGCAACGCGTCGCCGGGAGGCCGCGAGGCCGCGAAGCTTCGAGGACGCGGGAATGCCGAAGATAGCCTCAGACGCGTTTGAGACAGCCAGTGAGACATCGGTGCGAGGCAGACGTAGCTGTCCGTTCGGCCCTCTGGCGCTGGCGGCATGGCACGCGCCAGAGCGCCAGAATGCGCTTAGCCGCAATGGACCGATCCAAGATCGCGGATCTGCTTAATCGGCTTCTCACCACCCAACGCGAATCATGACCGACCCTGGACGCCCACTAACCTTGCTCGCACTTCGTCTTCGCAACTGCGCGTGTTTTCATCTTCCCCGGGTCCCCAGCTTCTCCAGCCGGGGAAGATGAAGGAAGTGCGAAGTGCCTCATCACGCCTCATGTCCCTCGACGTCTGTTCGTTGCGTGCATGGGCGCTTTCAGCAAGGGAAGCACAAGCTTCCGGACGCACTACTCGTGCATGACGAACAATGCTGTGATCGGGGGAGGAGTGACGCTAGCGCGAACCACGTTGCGCCATGTCGATCATCTCGGCAGGGCCTAGCCGTGGTCCAGGCTAGCGCGAGATGCTCACAATTGGGACGGCCTGCGTTCATAGTTCATATGCTGCGCGCTGGTGCCCTGGCCGCGGGAGGTACGAAGGTGGATCTCCATTGCCACCATCCGATTTCACGTCTGGTGCGTGCCCATCATCCCAACCGTAGGGACGTTAATGCACTGAAATCTTGAGGCCTTGAGGTAAGGAGGGAAGAATCGTAGTCTCCGAGACAGACGCATGTTGTTCCCCGAAATGGCGAGGTGGCGCACCCCTCATCCTCAGCCACCACCTCATCTATCTCTGCTCGTGTTACTCGGATGATCAGCTAGCCATCTTCGAACGTCGTCGAGCCGCTAGAACGCGCTTTAGCGATCTTAGTTCTCTCGTTATCGCTTCTGGAGGGAAGAGTAAACACTGACATATCCCAATCGACGCGACCGTGCCATCCAGCCTGCACCGCACTGCACAAGCTGCACAGCAATGTCCCGCACTCAAAGGTCACGCTACCCATCTCAGCCACCGTCGACGATCATACCGAGGTCACCATGACGTCGCCCGCGGTGCTCGAGCACCAGCTGAGGCCTGGGCCATCATCCACGTATCCGCTGGCGTTGCGGCAGGTTGTTTGGTTCCATCTCGCACCAGAGAGTCACCAGACAGCTCGCGCAGCCCGCTCGCTCCAGATACACTGCGTACTGCATAGAATAGCTATCTACATGATCAACGGCGATGAACGGAAATGATACTCTATTTACATGTTGCGGCTTCAGCGCCACGTTTACTTGGGGTCCTTGAGAGCAGCCTTGAGGACCTGCTCGAGCTGGTCGAGGTCGTCCTTGTTGCGAGCGTCGATCTGCTTCATGGGCTTGCCGAGAGCATCCTCGATGGCCTTAACATCGGCTCCCGACCGCTCGCCGTCGATGAAAGTGACCGCACAACCCTTGCGGCCGAAACGACCGGTACGACCTGTATGTCAGCTCGACTCTCAGAGGAGGGGAGATAACTTACCAATGCGGTGGATGTAAGTCTCGATATCAGGCGCCCAGCCCTCATCGGGGCCCATGATGGGGACGTCGTAGTTGACGACCATGTTAACCTGCTGGATATCGATACCGCGAGCCACGACGTTGGTCGTGATGAGGACCTTGGTCTTGCCCTGACGGAAGTCGTCGAGGATCTTGTCACGCTCGTCCGACATCTTGTCACCGTGGAGACAGGCAACCGAGTGGCCGTCGCTCTCGAGGCGCTCCGAGATCTGGTCCGCGGTGACCTTCTTCTTGCAGAAGACCATGCTCTGACCGATGGTCATGACGTCGTAGAGAAGGGCGAGAACATCGAACTTGTCCTCCTCGTTCGCGCACTCGACCTTCAGCTGCTTGATGGCGTCGACGGTAACCTCCTCCTTCTTGAGGTAGATCGAGTTGGCCTGGGGACAGAAGAGCTCGGCATACTCCTGGACCTGGTCGGGGAAGGTCGCGGAGAACAGCATCATCTGGGGCTTGCCGGGAATCATCTTCTTGATACGCATAGTCTGGTCGCCAAGACCCTGGAGAGCGAGCAGCTCATCGGCCTCATCGACGACGACTACACGGATCTGGGAGTGATCCAAGATGCGTCCGCCGCGGGACAGGATATCAACCAGGGTTCCAGGGGTTCCAACGACAATCTGCTCCGTAATCTTCTGGGAGCGCGACCAGGAGCCCGGAACGACGAGCTTGACCTTGATCTCGGTGAACTGCGCCAGCTTCTCAATGACGTCGACAGTCTGACGGGCCAGCTCACGGGACGGAGCAAGACAGATCGCCTGAGGAGTGCAGAGGGCAGCATCGACGCGGGAGAGCATGGCGAGAGAGAAGGCGGCAGTCTTGCCGGTACCCGACTGACTCTGACCAATCATGTTCTGAGGACTGTCATTAGGGGGGATCAGAAACGTCGAGACTCACGGGTTGGCGAGAAGAAGAGGAAGGGCCTTCTCCTGGATCTTCGAGGGCTTGGTGTAATTCATGGCGTAGATACCTTTCTTGAGGTCGTCGTGACTAACGTTAGGAGGTCGATCGGCGATCAGGGTAGCACTTACATAGGAAGCTCCTCGAAAGACTTGACAGAGTAGAGTGGCGAGTTGGGGTCGGCCTGCTGGTCGGCGAGCTTGACCTCGACCTGGAAGTCGTTGCTGATGAGGCCGGTCGACTGGTTGTCATCAATCTTGGCGTCCCCGTTAGTGGGGGGTGCGGTGGCGTTGCCCCAACCTGATGTCAGTTGCGGACGGAGAGAGCGGCTCACCATCGTCAGGTCCGTTCATCTTGTCTTTCGGTGTGTCTTCCTTTTTCTGTCCGGAGGAGGCTGATGGAGACGAGCGGTCGGCGTTAGCTCCAGCGAGGGCTTTTCCGAGCAGCGGGTTCGACTTGTTAACACTAGGGCGCGGCTTCTCAGATGATGAAGGCTTGGAGTCCTTCTCGTCGTTGTCGTCGGTAGCGAGGCCGCCAATGCGAGAGGCTAGCGACTGAGCTTCCGGGACGGGCTTCGAGTCGGGTGCTGGTGAGTCTGCCTTGGCTGGGGGTCGTGTCAGCGTTCGTCCCGGCGTTGAGAGCGGCGAGAAAGGCGACAAGGGTGAGTGTGAGAATGAGAAAGGGTGGGGAAGAGGGAGTGGGTGATAAAGGGAGGGGCGTCGAGTCGACGGTGGACTTGGCCAGCGCGGCAGGGGATCTGACGGCGACGAGGAGGCGAGCGCAGAGGAGGCGGAGGGGCGAGAGGGCGCAGTTGTGTGCGTCGTGCAAGTGACGGCGATGAGAGATCGGCGTTTCAACACGCAACACAGACCCCTCCGTCGGACCGCACCACATCTCTCGGTCTCTCTGGCTCAACAACAACAAAGGGAAGGAGCGCAGGGATCGAAATTTCTGGGCCGGGCGAAGCGATTGGCCGCTGCGAGCTTACTCACCGAAGCCACCAAGACGGGATGCAAGATCAGATCCGAGGTCGTCGTCGTCCTCGACGTCTGCCCAGCTTTTGGATGGAGTGTGGCCTGACATCGTTGCGATCGCGAGTGAGACAGCTGCGGGGCGCGCGGGCGCGGGCGGGCGGGCAGGCGAGCGAGCGAGCGGCGAGCGACGGGCGAGGCCGGGCGCAAGGGGTCGTGTAGGCGTGCGGGTCTGTGGTGTGGGTGGCTTAGGCGTGCGGGCGTCGGCTCGTCTCAGTTCAACGAGCTCGTGGCGTGGTGGCTTCCTCGCTGTTGGAAACAAGAAACCGTTCGAGTAGGCGTATGGATGCGTGCGCGAAACGTCGAAACGTCACTCCTTGTAGTGACAAAGAAATCACTATGACGGCAGCCAGCGGCGGCCAACGTATTGCCGCATCGGGCAATTCCTTGTTTACGCGGAGGACCTTGTGGCGAATTCAGACAAAAATGACAACTGCGTCTGGGATTTGGTCGGCGACGACTGAAACTCGTATGCGCACACGCAGCGGATTGGTGGGGACTGCTGGGGCTCGTAAGACACGATTGAATGCTCTATTACCATCGCTACTGCTGCATACAACTGAAGGTAAGGTACAGGAAGCTTAGAATCCTACAGGAATGACAATCACGGTCCGTTAAGGTCGTCTGGCGCTGAATTATTCAACTGAAAAGGCATGTTCCACAAGTGGTAGCATTCAGCTTGGTCTTCTTGAGTTCACAGGTGACCAGTTTGCGGTTGCACAACTCGCCAGTGTTCGTGAGCGGGTTCAAGCTGAAATTCGCATTCTGCAGCGACTCGGGCAGGCGTCCCAGGTCCGTCAGGTAGTTGCCCTGGACGAAGAGGCCCGTCAGGTCGATGTCGATGTTGGGCAGGGGACCACTGATCCTGTTGAAGCTGACATCTAAGTGTTTCAATGACTTGGGCATGGTGGACATGTCGAGCGAGGTGAGGTTCTGGTACGACGCCATACTGATGTCAGTGCTCTATGCTGGGTGGGGAAACTCACAGGGTGGATACCGTCGTGTTGCTCAGGTCCGGGAGGGCGAGCTTCTCATTGTGAATCAGAACGACCGAAGAGGCGTTTCCGACCTTCAACTTCTCTAGAAGTGTCCACTCGGCATTAACGAGGGTCAAGTTCGCCAACTCGCTGAGATCGAGGGTTCCCGACGGTGCAGAGCTGTTGCCATCCAGGCGGATGCTCTGGAGGCTCACGAGGTGCCGCAGGTCCGGCATTGATTCTGGCACAGAGGAACCACGGAGCTCAAGAGCCGTTACCCGTCCAAGTCTGTCGCACCCGATGCCCGTCCACCTGCAGGGTGATTGCGTCTCACCCCACTTCTTCAGGTGCTTGTCGTCCTCCACCCGGTCCCAGATGTTCATGAGCGTGCAGTACTGCAGCGCCTCACCAACTCCTATGACACCGGCAGTGGCGTTAACGTAGTCATTCGGCAATTGTGATAACGGGTCGTAGCACACGTAACAGTCAAAGGATGCGTTGTCGCCTTTGACCCAGCTCCGCGCGCACTCGAGCCCCTTGTCCCGCACCTTCTGTGCTTCCTGCTCCTCCTGCTGCTTCCTCTCGCCCTCCTCAGATTCGGATGCCGGCTGCCCACCGCGCTGCTTGTTCTTCGCGATGAGGACACTCGTAAGGACGACGATGACAATGAGAACCGCAACGCCGAGACCGAGCATGAGCCGCTTCTTGCGCTTCTTGTCGTCTGTCGGTGGCTTAGAGGCCCTGCGACGGGCAAGAGAGGGAAGGAACCCAGCCTCGGCTGCGGCAAGACGGGGCGTGTGCGGTGTCCTCGGTGTCAGACCCGGACTCTTTGGCGGGAGAGCCGTAGTACTTCCCTGGGGGATCTCGAGCGTGACCTTGCTGCCCTTGCTGCTCTTGTCGCTGGGCTCATAGAGATCAACGCGGCTTCCGAGCTTGACGGGCTTGGCACCTGCCCAGTCACCCCTGTTCGACAGACGCTTCAGGGGTGCATACCACGAGCGGGTCTTCTTGGGTCGGGGTGAGGAGAGAGAGTATGGTCGCGGCTGGCTGAAGTCTACTGCGACTGGAGTAAGGGCGATGTCGTGCATAACGCCCGGAGTCTGGGGACTCGGCACCATAGGACGAAGTTCGGGCCGGTGTTCCGGACGGAGATCTGAGCGTGGGGGACGCGGCGGGGCATTGATCGAAAGGCGGAGGGGTGAGCGAGGCGGACGCTGCGGTGGCCCAGACGGGGCAGGCACGACGGAGGGAAGCAGGCCTCGAGGAGGCTTGAAGGTGTACTTTTCCTTCCTCTCCGCCTCCCTCCTCTCCTTCTCCTTCTCCTTCCTCTCTGCCTCCTTCCACTTCTTCTCCCTCTCTTTCCACTGCCTTTCGGCCAGCTCCGAGTCGCCTGCCGCATCTCCGAGCTCCACGACCGAACTGTCATCCGCACTCTGTTTCCGAAGCTCGACCTCCTGCATGTGCACGACGTGGTTGCGCCTCCCGATGAGCGCGAGCATAGCCTCAGCAATCGGTGCAGGGTACATGCCCTTCACTTTCGGCGATGGCGAAACGTCTGGTGGCAAAGGGTGCGTGCTAGGCACCCCGGGACGGAGGGGAACCAGCGGCCCCCGCACGCGTGTGGTTCGGCGTGAGATCGGGGATGGGGCGGGCGTAAATTCGACAGGCCGGGAGTCGTTGATCTGCGCTTCGATTGCTCGCAGGAGCTGGCTCTGTGTTGGTGCATGGCTTGGAGTTATGGCGCCCGCGCGACGATGGGGTGGGACGTAAGCTTCCGCCTTCTCCGGGGAGCGCACGGTCAGAGGAGCGGTGTTGCCATTGCTACCGCTTACGTCGAGCTCGCTGGGTGAGCTGCGGGGCGTGGTCCGGTGGCTAAGCGGGCTGAAGCTGGTCGCGCTCCCACTTGCCTTGCTGTTCACCTTGGTCCGCGGGCCGAATGACCCATGCGAAAGTCTCAACCCCTCAGGGTCATGGTAGGCGTAACGATGCGATGCATGCGAGTCGTCGCTTGCAAAGCCCGCCAGGTCGACGAGGATGGCCGGGTGCGCGCGGGAGACACTCTGCGCGCGCTGGACGGTGGTGCCAAAGTGGATCTCTTCTTCCTCCTCCGGCTCGGTCTCCACTGTTGCGGCGGTCACGGCGGTGGCAGGAGTAGGCGCAGGAAGAACGCGGGGTGGGACCGTAGCTTCGGGAGTAGTTGTCGGTGTGGCTTGAGCAGGGATACGGCCCACACGTTGCAGGCGAGAGCCGGAGCGCTTGATCTCCGACACCTGCGATTGCGTGGACTGAGTGGTCTGAGAAGATGTGGAGCGGGCGGATTGATTGTTCTGGGCGTAGCTCGCTGAGGGAACAGCGAAGGGGTGCCTGGGGATGGAAGACAGCGATGCGCCCCTCAGGTGCTGGTAGTGTCGCTCGACTCTTTCGCTGCGTTCAAGCTTCTCCTGCGTCTGTTGGTGGACAATGTGCTCCACTCTGTCAGCCTCGACGACGCGCTGGCGGTGCTGCTGCTGCTGCTGCTTCTGCATTGCCTGCAGCGCCTTGGCCCCACTCAAGTCGAGCGGTGGCGGAGGCAAGGCTCGGGCACTAGATGAACTCGAGATTGAATCTGAGAAGGAACGAGAGTGCGTCTTGTAACGAGTCGCGTCTGCTCTGAGGCTGGCTGGGCAGAGGGCGGCGCGGCAGCGGCCTCGGCGGGAGTGGAAGGGGGATGGTGGGTGGCGGGCCGGGCGGTGGTCGGGACGGCGGCGGCGAGATGTCTGGCGTGCGCGGCGTACGGCCAGGCGTTTCGGGCCAGAGCGAGTGGTGCAGTTTCCGCCTGTCGGGGAGTGGCGTGCGCGCCCAGTCATCCATGTCCACCTCGTCCGCATAGGAGGTGTCGATCCTAGGCAGCTTGGCGTCACCATCAATCGGGCTCGGCGCTGAAGGAGCACTGCTCATCTCATCGACACAGAAGAACGCTCCGTCCGCACTCTCTGCAACGATGCGGAACTTGTTCTGGGGAGTCGTGCACAGCGAGACCCGGGCTGAGGCTCTCACTGCGGCGGGAGGGAGGATGGTCGGGTGCTTTGGTGGGGAGCCGGTCAGAGATGCGCCGATGCTGTAGCGGCGTTGGTCGCTGGGGAAGGACATGTTGAAGTGGATGAGGATGGGGAAGACGACGCTTCCTCCGACGGCGGAGAACACTTACATATGCCACCAGACTGTGACGCATGACGACCAAGAAACTGGACACAATGCAGCTTTGTCTGTTGCGGGAAGCGGAGATGGATCGCTGTGCTGGGTAACGGACAATGGTTGCTGGGCCCTTTGTCTCGTACTTCGCGGCGATGGCGCGAGGTCCGCTCTGACAGGCGCTGATCATCCCATCAGAACAATCGCGGGCCTTAGATTCCCGCACACCGCTGCACACTTGGCAAACGCAGACGCACACTGCCATGCAACCTTTGTTAGTACATTGGAGTACAACTGCAACGATCGGCGAAAGGTATCAGGTAGGCCGAAGCCTTGCATTAAGCACCGGGGCGTGTATATAATTGTGACAAGCTTTTGACTAAGTATGACAGGACAGCTTTATAGGATGACTAGGCTTCTTCGTTCTCGTTTTACTTGCGGGAGCTCTTCGAGCGCGAGCTGCCCTTGCTCCTGATGCTGCTACTGGACTTGCCGGACTTGGACTTTGACTTGGTCTTGATCTTGTCAAAGTTACCGTCATTCTTGATCAGGTGCTTGCGCGCCTTAGCGTACGCGGGGTCGAGCTCGTCCTCCTCCGAGCTCGTGTCCTCACGCATACGGCCGATGCGCGTACCCCAGTCGGCGGGTGCTTTTCGGGGCGCGAGCTCGTCAGAGTCCATCGACTCGCGCGGCGCAGAGTCAGCGGCAACGGGAGTAACGTAGTGCGTCGTCTTAGTCTCGCGGTAGCCATCGCCAGTGTTGGACGCAGGGGCGGGAGCAGGTGCAGGCGCCTCGCCGGGCACGTGAACGCGAACGCTCTTGCGACGGGCGAGGTCATTGCCGTCCGAGTAGCCCGAAGGCTGGTAGCCGGCAACCTCGGTGGCATCGTCGTCAACATTGGCGTCGTTGTATTGACGAGAGCCGTCGTCCTCAGCAGACTCGTAGACCGAGTCGCCAGTCGCGCCGGTGGTGTACGAAGTACGAGACTTGGTGCGAGGACGGTCATTGTCAGGCTTGACGTCAGGACCGTCAGTGAGGAAACCGGCAATCTGGTCGTTGGGGTCATCGGTGATGAGGCCGGCAATCTCAGGCTTCTTGGGGTCATCCGTGATGAAGCCGGCAATCTCAGGCTTCTTGGGTTCAACGTCCTTGTCGTCAACATGGACGGGGCCGGGGGCGTGAACGCTGTACAGCGTCGTGATCCTCGGGTCAGGCGAGAGCTGACGCTCGGCCGGCGACGGCGACGTGGGGCGCAGAGCCGACTTCAGAGGAGGCGGCTTCAGCTTCGAAGGGGGGAGGGCGGCGACGGGAGCCTTGTCGAAGCTGTCCGAGGAGCGGCGCTTGGGCGACTTGGTCGGGCGTCCAGGACCGGAGCGGTCCGTCCTCATGCTGTTGGAGCGCGAGATAGAGTCCTGCGGGCGCAGGGTGTCGGTGTCATAGTCACGCTTCTTCTTCGGCGTAGTGTTGTGAGTAAGCGCGGGCGCCTGCTGCACGGCACTGTGAGTGGAGTGGCGCGCCGTGTGTTGGACATTGGGCTGCTGCCTGTCTCCGACAAGAGACGAGCCGGGAGCCTTCGCGAGCTCCATTTGAGGGCCAACGCTCGGGGCCTTGGGCACATCAGGCATGGTCGGCGCAGGCGCATCGACAATAGACATCATGCTGTTGTCCGCACGGCCGGGAGGCGACGACACACGCTTGGACGTGCGACCGATGCTGCCGTTGGGACGAGTCTTAGGCTTGCCACTGGAGCGGTTCGACTTGTTGCTCTTCACAGTGGGCGTCTTGGACACGACGCTCATGGCGGCACGAGGGGTGGCGGAGCCGGCGTGAGACCTAGCCTTCGTAGAAGGCGAACGAACAAGGCCCGGGTGCGTGCCGTGATTGACAGAGACGCGGCCAACGTCGGCAACAGTCCACGACGGGGCGTTGGGCTGGTTAGCAACCACATCGTAGTTGGACAGGGATTCCTCGTCCGAGCTCGAATCAGCACGGCGCGTGCGAGGGTTGGACGACTTTGCACGCTTGATGTTATCATCCGTGCGCGTGTGCCAAGCACCCTTCCTATAGGGAGACTCGCGGCCGGAACGGTTGCCCTTGTCTTCATGGTGAGGGCCCTTGAAGAACCGGGCAATGGACGAGAAGAACCCATGCTTCTTCTTGTCCCTCTCCTTGCCGCGGTGGTAGGCTGAGGTGTTGGCGCGGATGCTTGAGGTGTCCGACTGCTCGTCAACACGGCTAAGACCATGGTCGCTGGACCGGGTCCTGCGAAGCGACCTGGTTCCCGGGGGCTTGTAGGTGCCGCCGGTGCCGAGCTCGCTGGTAGCCTTGCGCCCAGTAGTCTTACTACCGGTGTGCGAGTGCCTGCGAGAGACGGACGGCGAGTTTGAGGCGTTATTGGCCCTCAAGTTGGCCTCCGTCACGCGAGTGTTCTCGTGCATGACAAGGTTGGTGGGAGGCTGCTCATCTTCGGAGCTGCCGCCTCCCTCCTCCTCTTCGGCAATGCTTTCGTTGATGGAACCAGGGCCACGGGCGACCGGGCGGCGGCCCGCGGTGAGAGACCTGGAATGCTTGTGAGCAGCAGGCGAGAAGTCGCGTTCGTCGTAGCCCATCTGGGAAGCGGACTGCGACGGAGCGAGTGACGCGTTCGACTCGAGCTCGTAGTTCTGGCCATCACCAGCGTCGGCCGGAAGCTTCTCGAGGTCCTGGAGACCGCGGCGAGCCTGGCCGATCCACATCTGACCAACGGCCTCCATGGCATGGAAGCGTTCTTCGAGACCAGAGTACATGACCTTGTTGCGCTCCGTCTCGATGCGGACCTCAAGGCTGCGGAGGTGCTCCTCGCAGCCAAGGAGCTCAGCCTGGGCCTCCTGCATCTTCTGAGCGCGCTTAGCCTCACGGCTGGAGATGTGGCCCGACACATCAGAAGAGTACGAGTATGCGGAGCCAGTAGAAGACAGAACAGAGCCGCCGTCATTCTGTCGGAAGTTGGACGACAGAGACGAGGACATGTCCTTGATGTCACGCTTGGTGGGGCGAGACTTGGTAGTCTTGATGAGGCGAGAGACGAGAATCTGACGGTCACGCTTCACGCGGCTCATTTCCTCCTCGAGTTCGTGGATCTTCTTAAGGTTCTTGCGGAAATCCTCGAGGCTGGACACATAGGCAGCCCAGCCCAGGTTTTCGCCGTCGCCCGCGATAGAGCTGGTACCACCGTGGGCGCTCTCACCGCCGCCGGGAGAGAGCGGTCCCTCAAAAGCGGCATGTCGTACAGCTCGGCGGATCGGAAGGAGAACTCCGGGAGACGAGGTAACGTAGGCAAGAAGGGAAGAAGTCGAAGTATGCGAGTGGGACAGCAATGTCAAGAGAGCCGTAGTCAGGCCCTTCTGCGAGTCCCTGTTGGGGAGGTCAGCAACTAACCGAGGTCGAGATTCCGAGAGAACGTACATGTAGTTCTGGAGCAGCCTGTCGGAGCTGCTCCGGTGCCCGCCACCCATGAAGGAGCTCATTGCGGGCGTGAGAAGGTCTGGGAGGTGACTACAAAACGAGGGTGGAGAGGCGTTGGAGCTGGCTGGGGACGCCCGTGTTGGTTATCAGACACTGAGGTGAAGGGGCGGCGGAGGTGTGTTGATCGCCGAGGGGCCGGATGGTGGCGGGGGCGAAGGTTGTGTGTGTGTGTCGCCGAACTGGAAGAGAGTGTTCGATGGATGAAGAAGGAGGGAAAGAGGGTGTAGTCTAAGAAGAGTGGGTATAAGTGGTGTGAGGGGGAGTGTGGGTGGATCCGAGGGGTATGACGACGACGGCGAGGACGGGTGAATGATGCTGATGATGCTGGTGAATGACTCTCTGCTTTTTCGGCGGAGAGATCGAAGGCGAGAGAGAGTCAGGCTGGGGGACTGGAGCTGGGCGCTGGGGCCGGGGAGAGGGGGGACGACGGCGGAGGCGCAGGTGGCCCGGGAGCTGAGGGCTGAGTGCAGGGCCTGGGTCCAGTAGCGTCGGTGATGGACCTGGTGGACCTGTCCTGGACAAGCTTGAGAATCTGTTTGTGCTCAGACAGTGCGCTGTTTGGCGCAGAGAGGCGTCGCTGATCGGTCAATACGTCATGGCCGGTATGACTGGACATGGGCTTCACAACCGCACCCAGCAAAAGGGGCATACCTATCTGTTGGGTTCTTACCATTACCGGCATTCCTAATGTCGTCCTCTCCCTTCTTAATCGTCGCCCACCCGGCCCCTTGCAGCGATGATTATTGCTTCAGGGTCCACCCCGGTTAGGTTGGAATTTAGAGTACCAATGACGTCGACCGTCTGCAGCATGCTGTCGCTCACCGTCCAATCTGCCTCGCCGTACACAACAGGCGAGCCGATTCGAGGGTTGTGCAGCAGCTCCGACATGCCCTGCTTCCGGACGCCGGACGCCGGCAAGTCTACCGTCGTCCTGACATCCTTGAATGCGTAAACACGAGGCAGCTAGCAGCCTGAATTGACCCCGTCCGTTTACTGCTTTCAGAAACCATCAGCAGCCAGGCACACGAAAAGCCTTATCACTCAGACATCCGGGCCTCCACTTTTCCACAGAAAGCCACATCATCGCGGATGCCGCAGCCACGTGGTCCGCGTGTCTCATCGCCTGGCGCGTAGTTACGTGCCAGCATGGCACACCGGCACGTCGTCGCAACTTGCGCGCCGGCACAAGTAGGCCACCTCCAAATCCCTCATCAATAACAACCTCCCAAAACCGGCTCCCATGGCACCTAAATCCAAGGCCGGTGCTGCCGCGGCCTCGGCGCCGCCGCGCAAGGAGGCGTCGATCACCGTCATCGAGGACGACATCCCTCCGCCCGTTGAGATCGTCGCCGAAGACGTTGCAGCTTACGCCTACCCCGTGCCGCAACTGCCCAAGGAGACAGTGGACAACACACTGAGCTTCCTCCGCCTCGCAATTCTGCTGCTTATTTGTGGTGCCGCTGTCGCGAGCCGATTGTTCGCCGTCATCCGGTTCGAGAGTGTCATCCACGAGTTCGACCCGTGGTTCAACTAGTGAGTGGTCCATGTCGGGCGTCCGCTGACCAAAGCCGAGCAACCAAGGTTCTCGTGAACAAGGGATTCTATGTGAGTAGCTCACGGCTGAAGCATCAGAGCAATTGCTAATCCCATGCAGGAGTTTTGGAACTGGTTCGACCCTACTGCTTGGTACCCTCTCGGTCGTACCGTCGGTGGCACTGTCTACCCGGGTCTCATGGTGACCTCGGGACTGATTTGGAGCTTCCTCCACTACATTAACATGCCTGTCGACATCCGAAACGTCTGTGTTCTTCTTGCTCCCGGATTCTCTGGTCTCACTGCCTTCGCTACCTATCTGTGAGTTTCAAAACAGGAGCTAAGCTAACTCCAGCTTCACGAATGAGATGGCTTCCTCTGGAGCTGCTCTGCTCTCCGCCGCCTTCATTGGTATCGTTCCTGGCTACATCTCTCGTTCAGTGGCCGGATCTTACGACAATGAAGCCATTGCCATCTTCCTCCTCATGTCGACCTTCTACCTCTGGATCAAGGCTCTGAAGACTGGCTCGACCTTCTGGGGCACCTGGGCTGCCCTGTTCTACGGCTGGATGGTTGCCGCCTGGGGAGGATACGTGTTCATCACCAACATGGTGCCCCTTCACGTCTTCGTGCTCCTGCTCATGGGCCGCTACAACAACCGTATCTACTCGGCGTACTGCTCGTGGTACGTCCTGGGTACCATTGCCTCCATGCAGGTCCCCTTCGTCGAGTTCCTTCCGATCCGTACCTCAGAGGGTATGGCTGCTCTGGGAGTCTTCGGCCTTCTCCAACTCGTTGCCTTTGTCGAGACCTGCCGTCGTCTGGTTCCCGACAAGGCCTTCACTGTCCTTCTTCGTGCCTTCGTCGTTCTCGTCGCCGTTGTCGCCTTCATCGCCCTCGTCCTTCTCACCTTCTCCGGCTGGATCGCCCCATGGACCGGCCGTTTCTACTCTCTTTGGGACACTGGCTACGCCAAGGTTCACAGTGAGTTACAAGTTTGCGTGCTTAATCTGACTTTCCCAGTGCCTATTATTGCCTCCGTGTCTGAGCACCAGCCCACCGCCTGGCCTGCTTACTTCTTCGACCTGAACTGGCTTATTTGGGTCTTCCCCGCCGGTCTCTTCTGGTGCTTCCGCTGGCTCCGTGATGAGCACGTCTTTGTCATCATCTACGCCGTCTTCGCCGCCTACTTCTCGGGTGTCATGGTTCGTCTCATGCTCGTCCTGACCCCGGTCGTTTGTGTTTCTTCGGCTATCGCGATCTCCAAGCTCCTCGAGGCTTACCTCGACCCGAAGCTCGAGGTCGAGGAGGCTGCTGTGGCAGCTCCGACCAAGAAGGCCGCCAAGAAGGGCAAGCCTGCTGAGACATCCGCTTTCCAGTTCACCGGCTTCATGGCTGGCAAGAAGGCTAGCGGCGTTTGGTCGTGGGAGTCGCGTGCTCTCGTCGTCGGCGTGCTCATGTACTTCATGATCTTCTTCGTGAAGCACTGCACGTACGTGACTTCGACCGCGTACTCGTCGCCTTCCGTGGTGCTTGCGTCGCGCAACCAGGACGGCTCGCAGAACATCATCGACGACTTCCGCGAGGCGTACTACTGGCTGCGCCAGAACACCGAGAAGGATGCCGTTGTCATGTCATGGTGGGACTACGGCTACCAGATTGCTGGCATGGCCGACCGCGCGACGCTCGTCGACAACAACACGTGGAACAACACCCACATTGCCACCGTCGGCAAGGCGATGGCCTCGAACGAGGACATTGCATACCCGATCCTGCGCCGCCACGATGTCGACTACGTGCTCGTCATCTTTGGTGGCCTGCTCGGCTACTCTGGCGACGACATCAACAAGTTCCTCTGGATGGTCCGCATCGCCCAGGGCGAGTGGCCCGATGAGGTGCAGGAGGCCAAGTACTTTACGCCACGGGGCGAGTACGCCGTTGACGACCGGGCGTCGCCGACGATGCGCAACTCGCTCATGTACAAGATGACGTACCACCGCTTCCCCGAGCTGTATGGCGGGCACCCGGCACAGGACCGGGTGCGCGGCCAGCGCATTCCCGAGCACGGGACGCACGAGCAGCTCGAGACGATTGAGGAGGCGTTCACGTCCGAGAACTGGATCGTCCGTATCTACGCGGTCAAGAAGGATGACCCCTTCGGCCGTAAGCACAAGGACGCCATCCAGTTCAACAAGGGCTTCCTCCGCCAGGGAGACAGTAAGTAGATAGACACATCCTAAAAAGCAGAATGCATGCGATATAGACTGCAAGGGTTGCGACCGTGTCGCACAAGTCCAGCGCGATAAGAAGGGGATCGGGTGGTGGCTATGCTACAGTGGTTGTCGAAGGAGTGCTAGGCTACAGTGGAAGGGAACGGTGATCTGGTACAGTGGGTGGGGGGCGTCGGGATACAGTGGGAGATGATACAGTGTCTGTCAGGTTGAGTGGCGGTCAGGGAGACGAAGGGGGCGTCGTCGGTGGAGAGAGACTCTCTCCGTCCTCCCTTGTGTGGAAGCGACGGATCATTTCCTCCTGCCTCTGAGTGAGTGCAAGGAGGATAGTGTTGCACTCGTCTAGCCGGGAAGGGTCTGTCATCAGCATCTGTGCACTGTGCTTGTGCGAGAACCATCACCGACAGAGGTGACAGGCCTCGGCGGTCCAGGCAAAGGGCGCAGGCCGTGCTGGGCCCTAACGCGGTTCAACGGCGACGGCATATTATTTGCAAAGGAGAGTGATAGGTGATACAGGTCGTTAGTCGTAAGGTCGTAAAGGCGATGAGTGAGCGGAGCCACCGCGAGAAAGAAACAAGAGGCAGGCGCGATAGATATATGTTGTTTGGCAGGACCGCAAAGTCCACCCGCCCTCCAGCCTCCATTGAGTTTATCAACAGTTCTTCCCGCGCCTCATTCCACACTTTGGGAACTTTAGTCCGCTCCATCTAACTTTCCCAAGATGGCGCCGAGGGCAGCGTGGTCGTGAGAGGGCGTGAGAGGGCGTGAGAGGCGTGATCAGACCCACCACAAAAGCTCGCCAAGGCTGCCCCGAAAGATCCCCGGGTCATCCTCAGGCTCCTGAGCAAAGTCTAGTTCACCCCGATCTCCCGGACCAGACTTTTCCGCAAGACGAAAGGAATGAGCTGAGTGGTGGGGGCCAAGAATAGTCTGCCTGGAACTAGTCGAACGAAGAAAACGTCAGTGGCGGGGCGGGTTGGAACTCCGCGGCAGTCGTGGGCGGATGTGTCGCCGCCAGATCTGGCTTCACTGCCGCATCAACCATGTTTAACAGCGCTGCGCGCTGCGCACAGGTCTATTCCGCACAACGTTTGTCCGCGCAGATTTCTTCCGTCGGTGTGGTGGTTGCAGTCATGTCCATGTCCTGTGACTGACAGGTGACCGTCGACAGCAAAGACAACTCGGAGAGATAGTGATGATCGCTCGTGTGCTGAGGCGTCGTGTGCGTGCGGCTGATGAGGCGCACCCCAAACACGGTCCCGAACAAGGAGCCCGCGACTCTGCTAGGCTGCTAAGTCTGGCGGCAACGGCGCCCGTGAGATCTGCTCTTGGCTGTCTCCGCCCCAAGTCCGACATCGGCCGTGCGGAGCAAAGAAAGCGCTGGAGAGGGGCGATCGTGTGCTCACAAGCGCGATCTGGGAATGGGGCCATTCCACAATCTGTGTCAGCACCGCAGCTCAGGCTGTATTTCCGTCGGAAGCGACGTTCGCCATCAGGCATATATTCGAGTTTAAGAGAACATGAGCCAGCTCGTAAGATACTGCAAAGAAGTCGGAGAGGTCTCCGCCTCCAAGATACCAAGATTTCCTAAGACATCACCTCGGCTGATAGTTCGTGCCACTAGCGTCGGGTGAGTTTGCAGCACGATGCGACGGACGAGCCACAGCTCTGGGTCAACTTGGACCCAGTGTCCCGTTGGAAAGTGGGTCTCGAGATGGCTCTATAACATCCTGGGTCGTCACCACCTGGTCCTCACTTTAGCTGGAACCAAGTGCCACTACGCTCACTATCGCGCTACACTACGGCCACCACCGACGACTAGCGATGCCGGTTTGTCGGGGCAGCCAACTCGGCACTCACTCGGCACCGTCACCTTCCACGTGGGGACTAGCACAAGAGACAACGCAGACGACTGTGCGCTGTGCACTACGCACACTATCCGTTATGTGGAGCCGAGCAAGAGCGACGCGTGCAATATATCGTCGACGCGCCCCGACGCCACTGGCTCGAAAGCCACACACTCTGTGATCATCCGTCACCCTGCGATTGTCACTCACCAACTACGTCATAATTGGCACGGAAGGGCGGACGTCTCCACTCGTACTCACATGCTCTAGTCTCCCACGGCGTGCTGATGCTGATGACGCCGACTCTCCCACGGCCACCTGCAGAAAATCACTCTGACGATGACGCCGTCCTGACTCTCCCACGCTAGCTTCTGCGCGTCGGACCAAGGCATTCCGCAACCCCGCCTCCCCCTGCCAGGACACCGCCAGGAGGGCCAGGACGGCCAGGAGACCGCCAGGACACAGCCAGGACCACAGCCGCAACCCTGCCGCTGCCGCTATTGTCACAACTCACTCACCGCCCAGGATTCACCAGGATCCTCATTCACTCCCCCGCCTGCCTTATCAATTTTCTCCACCGTCACCCACCCCTGCAGCCCCCCCCCACTCGCTTCTACCCCAAGCACAAACAAATCTTCGCCATAGCACACGAGTCATGCACAGTCTTCATACCAGATGGATGCGATTATACTACAGAAACAGAGACAGATGGAGGGAGGAGAGAGACACATTCGGGCTAAAAGCACAGACAACAAAGGGGACACACGGATCTACGCCACCACCACAGTGTTTATCTGTCGTAGTCGCGCATCCGCGCGGGCACCTGTGTCTCGCGCCGTGACCGTTCGCGGACCATCGGCTGAGTCTGCGTCTCGGACTGAACGCGGCGCATGCTAGTCGCGTCCTCGCTGTCCTTGGGGGAGCTCTCGCCCGATTTCCGCGGACTGGCCTCGGGCAGGCTGCTTGCGGAACCGGCAGGCGAGGTCGAACCACGTCGGGAAGCGCGTGTCGGTGGAACGCTCTCGGCCAGGCGCGAGCGCTTGCGGGGAGCAGAAGTTTCGTCCAGGGCACCGTCGACTTCAGTCTTGTCCTTGTCATCATCGGCAGATGTAACGGCGCGGAGAGGCGAGTTGACATTGACGACACCGTTACCGCCCACAGACACGGGGGCAAGCCCACTGGAGCGAGTGCGCTTCAGAGTGCGGGGTGTCGGGGTGTCGCCGCCATCCTCTGGTTCGGTTGTCGGGAGCTTATACTGGGCAGCTTCGGCGGCGTGAGCCTCGGCAGCGGCAGCTTCGGCGGAACGGGCACGCTGGGCGGCAACAGCTCGCTGGATGGGCGGGATCATCGGAGTCGGGGTCGGGGTGGCCACCGTGCTCGAACCGCGTGTTCCGCGACTGGATCGCAAAGCCTTGCGACGCCTGGCGAGCGCTGCCGCTGCACGAGCAGCTGCAGCGTTCTCCTTCTTCTGGCGAGCCTTTTCCTCCTCGGCCCGCTCAGCTCGGAGGAGCTCCTGCGGGGAGGGGATCGTGGAACGCGTGTTGGCGAGATCGTGGAGACGGTTGTAGGGGTGCACGGCGGGGCCAGTCGCAGGAATAGAGGGCGTAGGGGATGCGGCGGGGGTCTGGTGGGATGATCGCTTCTTGTTCGTCGGCGGCGGCGATGGCACCTTCGGGCGGACGAGGCAGCGAGCGACAATGGTCACGTTGAGGGGTCGCATTTTTGACGACAGGCGCTCCGACGCGGTGGAGGGGACGACAACAGCGCTCTTGCGGCGCTGGTTGAACGTCAAGACGGGGGCAGGAGGAGGAGTCGGCTCGCGGGGAGGAGCGACACTGAAGGACACGAAGCCTGAAGATTTGGTCTTGAGCCCCACGGCCGGGTCAGCCGGCGAGGCGAAGACGATGGGCTGAGGGGGCATCGCGACGGTAGCAATAGACTAACGCGCGAGCGAGATAGAGGAGACCAGGGAGAGGGAGGGAAGGAGCTCTGCTCGCTGGATGGGGGTGGCAAGAGTTGTGGACTGGGATGAGTGAGAGTTTAGCGGAGCGTGTTGGGGTGGGGAGGAGTGGGATGTTGCAGTGGTGTTGTGATGTGCGGAGGTGAGGGAAAAAGTTGAGAGGGGTTGTAGAAGGTATACTCTGAGCAAGAGGTAGACAGAAGAGTAGATGGGAGGTCGTGCTTGCTGTTCTTGATGAAGAGTATGGGGGAAGGAGAAGGCAGCGTTGTTGGATGGAGGCTATGAGTATGCCGTGTACCCCGGGAGGAGGGGGAGCACCCACCACCGCACGGCCGTATCACTGTTGGACTCGCCGACCAGTGGTGGAGGTCATTTCTGATTGCGATCAAGCCGGGCTACAGGGCGCCAAGGGACGTGAGGACCGGCCCCGCGGCCCAGCCTCGCGATGGTTCCTCGTTAGGCCCATCAGTGCCACGTGCGTATGTGGGGGGCACGCTCAACTCCACCTACAGAAAAGCACACAGGCGCGTCCTTTGGTCTAAAAATTGCTCCCGCAAACCGTTCAGCTTAGCACAGCGATCACAGTCAGGTCCCGGCTTCATTGTGCATTTTAGCCGTTGAAACCCACCGATCCGGCGTCGTCCGTCGCTTGTCACTCCGGCCCTTGCTCCCCAACACATCGCCCCAGCACCACCGTCACATCCAGTATATCCAGCAGTGTGTGGCATGACGTCCTCCACACACAGTGGGTGACGGAGCCTCGGTCACTAGCGCGTTCGTGCGGAGCTAGGTGTTGCGTGCGCACTCCTCGGTGACAGACAATACAACTACGCATTGTACATGTGCGTGTGAGTCGCATTGACGTTGTGAGCCTGGGGCCTGTGTGTTTCGGTGCTTCGAGCTAGTGTGCGCTAGCCATTGTCCTGATTGTAGCGGTCCAATAATCCAGTCCGTAATATAGGGTGCACGGGCTGTGTCACACGCCTTTCCCACCAGCCTGAACACTGACCGCATTGTAAATGGTAACGCAGCGGTGCAACTGGACGCAGGCGGTGATGCATGTGCGTGCGTATGTGGCTCTATGTAATCGGCAGTCTAGGTTCCCCTGTCGCCGCGGCAGGAGTATGCACACAAGTGACTGAAGAACAGGCAGCGCCAAGACACAGTTCACCCCTTGCTGATACCCGATACCGGGAAAATCGGGCTGACCGACGTTCTGCTGAGGCAATTCACGTGACTGGCACGTGAAGGCGATAAGGATTGGCTTCTGGATTCTTAATTCTGGATTCGAAAAAGAAAAGTTGGACAGCGGACGCGGTCCGGCGACAAAAAGGTCCGAGCTGCAGGCAGGTTATCCACGGTGGGATGATTTGACCCAACCGGCCCTCTGTGCCTGAAAACCCTGCTGTTCCTGAACACCAGGTCTTACCAGGCATGAGGCCCAACCTTGATCCATCGATCCACGCAATGAGATTCCACCTCTCCTCCGGTCCAATTGCTGCCATTAATGATGTTGCCGCTAAGAACTTCTCGTAACCTTGCACTCCCCAGCCCCATCGATGATCTATCGAGGGTGCCCCATGCCGTCTCGGCGTGAGCGGCGGATTTTAATCTGCGTTTCCTAGTCTCCCAATGATCCATCAAACGGCCCGGCGGCTGGCTCAGACACTTATACTCACGTTGAAACATATTTCTTCCCCGTCTCTATCGAGGGTGCCCCATGCCGTCTCGGCGTGAGCGGCGGATTTTAATCTGCGTTTCCTAGTCTCCCAATGATCCATCAAACGGCCCGGCGGCTGGCTCAGACACTTATACTCACGTTGAAACATATTTCTTCCCCGTCTCTTTCATCAGAGTTCAGCGGGATATGCATTCTCGAAGGCTCAGTCGGGAGTGATGTCAGAGGCTGATGGCAAGATCTCGCTGCATGGCAACCGGGGCACCCGATCCGCGATCCAGACCTCGCTGTATGCACGACCGATAGAACAGGACGCACGTATGCACGTACAGCGCACGCAGAGGCGCAAACGGCGCCCGCCGACGGGACGCTGGCGCGCTAGGCAGTCACGACCGCTGTATATCAGTCGCTGCGGCGACCGCCATGCCGCCGTGCCCGCTTCTGCACCTGGGCGCGCCTCCGTGCTGCGCTGCTAATCCTGGCCGCCACAATTGCTTAGTTAGCGAACCGGAATATACGTACGCCATCTAGGACTTAGTCCCAGGGCCCAGGTCTAAGGTCCGAGGCCGCCCTTTACGTCTTCTGCGCAAGCCACGCACGCGGCTACTCGGACGAGGCAGCATAAGGCCCTGGCTCCCCACCCTGCATGCATATATCTGCCGAGCGCTCAAGGCTGTCGGCTGCCGGCCATGTCGGGTGCGCCGCGGACGGGAGGCGCTTCGGCGTCTCGGTGGTGGTACATACCTTCACTCAGGCGCAGGCTAGCAGGCGGGGGCGGTGACCAACCCCTCGAGGATTATGTTTGCATCGGCGAACAAGTGATTGATGACTGGAGGAAAGTTTGGTGTAGTGGATCTTGGGTGGACGGCTGGAAGGGCACAATGAGGGCAGGCTGTGGTATGTGCAAGGGTTGTCCGAGAGGCATTGTGGGGATCGGAGGGGAGCTTCACGGCCCGACCAGAGTGTAGACGGCGGCAGGCGAGGTTTGGGCCTGAGAGTATGGCAGCTCCCCCGCACCCGCAGGTCGGCCATGCTTCTCGCCCATGGCCGTCTCGTCTCGACCGCTGCCCGCTGACCTGCTGACCGTTGGCCGTTGCCGCTGAATTACTCAGAATAATCGGGCGTAAGATCAGGAGCCAGGCGAACAACGCAGTCAGGTGTCCTGGCTTGGCTTTGACTTCTCGGCGCGCTTCCCTGTCCCCAGCAACCGACCAGTCGCCCTCCCTACCGTTCCCCTCGCTCCTCCCACATCCTTGTTGCATTGTACAAACACTCTACCATCGCGACACACAACGCGCTCGACGCATACACGCTCCGAAATCATCCCCTACTCCCCGCCTCCCCCTCTGTGCATCGCCCCGCTCATTGCGATCACCGATTTTCCGTTATCAGTCGAAACACTTTCGTCTCAGCATAACCGGGGTGCCGCTCAGCCAACCACCCGCCGCTTATATCCGTGTGCTGAAATCGACTAGACTGTTGCGACGCAGCTCGACTCACAGGTCTTGCGCATCACTGTCGACATTCTTGCATACGGTCTCACCCAGTTCACATCGACTACTGCTTTCAACGGTCCCACGAGCGGCGGCATCCCCTCGCCAATACTACTATTCGTGGTCGACTAAGGCGGTCATTACTCCCGGCCTGCGAACTCTATTGATCTCCAGTCGGCACCCTATCTCCGCCGCCTCGCCGCTTTGCCTTGACTGGGCTCACTAGCACTAAGTCTTGGTACAACCCTGTCGTAGCCGCCTGCCCCGCCTCCGCCCTTTGGCACAGGCTCCTACGGCCAACTTCGGTCCCCAAATCGCTCGACACACATACTTCTGTCCTCGCCATCTGCGATTGCGATAGCGACCGCAACTGCACGGCATCTCCACTCAGCGCTCGACCCCTCGCCATTGTCACCCTAGCATTGCCGCACGACAATAAGCCCGAGCGCGCAAGCGAGGCTCTGGGTCTCCTCGCACTGGCATCTGTCGCCTGCGGCTAGCAATTGCAATAGTGGACACCGTCTCTGTTGGACGCACACCACACGCGCCGACAACGCCCCCGACACACGACCTTCGCAGCGGCCCACCTCCATCACACGACGGTCATCTTCAATTCCCATATCCGTCTTCCCCACGAACTCTACTGTCTGTCACCCAGCTGTCACACAGTCCTAATATCACTTCGCACCCTTTGTCTGTCTACCATATCACACCATGGCGGCGATCAAGGCCTACGTTCCCCGCAACTCATCCCTTCCCCCGTCGTCGAATGCCGGCTCGCCCTCCCCATCAACGCTTCCTAAACGTCCCGCGTACGTGCCTCGGTCTACAACGCAGTCGCCGAGTGCCAGCGATACTCTGAAGAACGATGCCGAGCAGATTCTCAAGGTGAGTACAGATTGGCCGCCGATCTGTGTAGCTTTCGGGGTCGTTAGTGCTGACTTCCTTCAGCTTCTGGCGAAGCTTCCTGCGCCTCTGACCTCATCGCTCCCCAAAACATTCGTCTCATCTCCCCGTCCAGCCAGCCAGAGCTCAATAGGCAGCTCCAAGTACTCATCGTTCAAGGCGTTTGCTCGTGCTGTGAAGCGAAAGAGCTCTGATGACGACGAATCGAATGGGCTGGGATTGAGCGGTACGGGGTCGAGCAAGCGACCGGAACTGAAGCGCGCTCGCACGGATAACTCGGCTACCGGTCCGGCTGCTACTCCGTCCTCCCACGAATTAACGCGCTCAATATCGGCCACCAACAGCAGCGGTCTCACGCCTCCCACAAGATCGGCACACTTGTCGTCACCGCACCGACCTGCACGTAGCAGTTTGCGACATGAGATCAAGGAGCGCAAGGCCGGGCAGGGAACTGCCGATTGGTCGAAGGACCAATGGAGCAGTCTGTTCCAGAGGTGAGTACGAGAAGTGCGATGAGATAACTAACATGCCACAGCTTGGGGACTCGCGCGCACTCTCTCAAGCGCTACGGCGATGCGTTCCTCAACCCCGCAGGTGCCAAGGGGCATCTGCGAGGCCGCGTGAGTGAGGACCCGCTGCGTGCTGTTCTCTACCTCACCGACTCGCTGTGTCTGTACCTCTTCCGCATCTTTTGCGAGGAGCGCATGTATGGTTACACCAAAACCGACTCTATCGTCCAGCTCGACGGACTTCGCGGCTTCATCGCAGGGCGATGGCAGAGCCGGCTCAAGTCTGACGATGCGCACCGAGACCTTATCCGTGGCATGATCGGATTCATGTGAGTGCCTAGCTGATTCCCCGCTGACTTTAACAGTTACCTTGTTGAGGCCGTCACGCAATACCAGATCTCAACGACAGACCTCCACAAGCTCAGTCGGAGGGCTAAGGACCTCTCGACTCCCCATTCCTCGAGCGCCCCACTGGCCAACGGCTCGGCGAATGGAACACACGGCTCCTCCGCGTCGAACCACGGACCGTCACCAGCTTCCTCGAGCGCCTCTCCAGGTGCGCTGGCTCGCTCGCCTGCGTCGACGAGCTCTGAGATCCCGCCAGACGTTCTCAAGCTCTTGACGACGACCGCTTCTGCCTCCACCAATGCTTCGAAGGCTATCCTGGCGTCGCGTCATCACCTCTCGCTCCGCACCTTGCGCAACTCGTTCCCTACCACCTGGGATCGCGCGGTCAACTCTGAGCTAGCCGAGGACATTATGCCCGCGCCCGGCGACTCGCTCGGCTGCGCCCGATTCCTCGACATTGACGATCCAGACACGTTCGCCTGGCCGATTGAGCTCGGCATGCAGAACGCCATCGCTCACGTCGCCGTATTTGGACGCGCGCTCGTCCGAGAGTTCTCGGAGGTCGCAGGGAAGCCATGGGAGGCGGTACTCACTGAGGCCGACAGCCCTGACGCCCGGTAACAGCGGCCGTGGCAGCTCCCCGCACGTACGCCTGCACGAGCATCGGCTTTCGCCCCTCATCCTGTCTCACCCCTACCCAGCTACAGTCTCGCAGTCGGGGCTGTTGCAGGTTGCCATCACTCTCCTGATCGACTTGACTGGTGTGATCAGGTCTCGATCTTCCCCTTGCCATCTTGTCTAACCTTCAACGAAGACTTATTGATGAAACGAAACTGTCAACCCCTATCCGATATGATGGAGAAGAACCTAATCATTGTCCGCGACTGCGAGTTGAAGATCGCAGATGGATGGAAGCAGAGGATCAGCAGGCTTAATTGTTTCATCCGACGCGAAGGATGGTGCCTCAGTCAATGGTCAACGGCGGCCGTGGCTGCGGCGGCGATTGAGGAGAAGTAGAAGCTAAGAGATTCATCTATTGTATTTGCGCATGTAACATTGTATTGAACAAGAGAACGGCTAGAACAGAGATCGAGAATGCACTCAGCCGCAAGTGAAATGAGGCAGGGACAATGGGTTTACGGTGTTCGAGTGGGATCGACGTTAGGGTCAGATGGATGACCGGTCACGGCATCAGGTCCGTACGGCAGAATAGAGCGGCAGGAGTCAGTGTGACAGAAGCGTACGCTACTTTGGCTGGTTTGTGGAAAGTGCCGTGCATGGATGCGGCCCAGCTAGGCTGTGTGGGCGGCTGCACAGTCTGCCACAGCCCCGAGCGCCGGACGGCGGTGCGTGGCAGCACAGGCCCGCGGTACGCTGTGCGGTAGCTACGGTGGCTACGGTGGCTACGGTGCCATGGTGGGCGTGCACGGCGCACACGGTGGATGGTCTGTGGTGGGGAATGTAACACCGAAACGCCGTGTGGTGGTGCTCATGTGCGGCACCTGTGGCGAGCGGGCAGGGTGGAGAGGGCCAAAGGCACGCGCACAGAATTCAATCTGGCGGCGGAGCCCTGAGGGATTGACGGTGCTGACTGGCTGGAACTGCGCTATGCAGGCTGGGCTGGGTATGTCCTGGCTGGGCGGCACTCGACTATGGTGGGTGATTCTGGTGCACGAATGCTGCAGGCTGACTGGCTGAGAGACTGAGAGGATCACTGGATCACTGGGTGATGCTGGCTCGCTAGGCTGGCACGCTCGCTCACCGTAGTGGGACAGCCAGGATGCCCAGGCATGACGGCCCAGCAAAGCTGAGAGCTGTCCACTCACCACCAGCCTAGCTCCCTCTCCCCTATCCACCCCGCACTTGACAGTCCTGCACGCCTCCTCCTCGCCAACTCATCACCCTTCGTCACTACTACTCTTCACTTCCATCCATCCACCCCTTCCTCCTACTCTCGACCACACCACTGCGTCTTTTGTCTCATTCTACCCACAGCACACAACCCAACCCTAACCCCGCCCACTGCTTTCCCGCCGCCCCCGCATCGGCCCGACAACGACAAAGCAGAGCAATCCGCGCAAAGCACGCACCCGGCTAGCCCCACATTCGATAATCCTATCCCTTCCCGACATCCATAGGGTAGTATCATCGTCCGCTCGCCACGCAATTTGCCCTTTGCCTGCTTGCTTGCATCCCTCCTCTTCGTCGACCGTCATCCTGCAACCCCCCTTGCACATCCGACCCCCGTAATCGATCCATACCAACCGCATCCACGCTCGACAGACACGCTATTGTATTCGCAAGCCGATTTTACATTAGCTGTTGCCATTCAGTGACCTAATCCTCCCCTCTTAACCCTTGCGCGCGCTCTTGGCCACATCGGCTTCGGCACGCCTCTACGTCCGACGCTCACCAGGCGACACGGCACGCTCATGCCTCCCCCCTTGGCGACTCGTTCTTTTCTCGAATCCTTGTCTTCAACCCCTCGGGATCCTCGAATCCTCTCCAGCAGCACTCTTTGTTCGTGTGGACTCTTGCGTCTTGACGTGAAAGTTTTGCTGACACCCACCAGCTCCCCGGATAGACCCACCGCTGGATGTTCTACTCTCAGCAAGCGGCCGGCTCCTCGCAGGCCAAGCATCACGACGCGGGCGGCTCCGGACCGATTGGTGAAATCGGCCTTGGTGGCCGAGGACCGCTAGGCGGTAATGGCGGCGGCAGCAACGGAGGAGGCAACGGAGGTTGGGGCCGGCATCCAGCCGCCTTCAACCCCATGTCCTCCGGTGCGTTTGGCGGCAGCAGCGGCGCCAACGGGATCTTTGGCGGTCCTCCAGGAGGAGGCCACCACGGTCCCGGCCCCCATGTTCACCCCCACCACGGCGGATTACACCATGGTCCTCAACACACGCCTTTCGGCAGCAGCGGCGGCTCTGGATTACACCTCGGGCAGCAGCACTCTGGCGGCATGGGTTTAGGACACGGTCCCGGACAGTACGGCAGCGGACTCGGCGGCGGCATGGGCTTTGGCGGCAGCCAGCAGACGAGCCCACCTCGAGCTGCGGCTGAGGCTGCGATGCCCCTGACTCCGTTCTGGCAGCAGCAACTCCTGCGCGCAGAAACTTCTCGGGTAGCCAGCTCGCCTCATCACCGTGCACGCTCGGCAGCCATGGCTTCGCGCATGAGCAACAAGCCAGCTGCTGTCACCATCATGGACCCGAACCGCCCAACGTCGGCCGCAGGCACGCCAGGGACACCCAACGGAACTCACCGAAGGAACGCGTCGAGCGCTATCACCGCTTCTCCCGCAAACACGGCAGCCACGGCGGACGACAACGCGACCACTGTTTCATCAACTGCTGGAACCACTGTGGCTGACCCGATGAACCCTGCGCAGCCGCCCGCGCCGGCGTCCAAGCAGGAAGAGCCGTATGAGCCGTGGACCGGCCTTGATCTCGGCGGTATCAGGCTTAAGACGCTGTCACCGTCGCTGTTCGCCTTTTCGCACATCACGTCACTGTACATCAACCACAATAACCTCAAGGTCCTCCCGCCTGCGATCTCAAACCTGAAGCAGCTCACCCTTCTCGATGCGACATCGAACGAGCTTGGTTCCCTGCCTCCTGAGATTGGTGTGTTGTGCAAGCTCAAGGAGCTGCTCGTTTTCGACAACAACCTCACCACTCTCCCGACTGAGATCGGCGGCCTCTACCAGCTCGAGGTCCTTGGTATCGACGGCAACCCGATGGATGAGAACGTGCGCAAGATGATCGCCGACCAGGGAACGCAGGCTCTGATTGCCCACTACCGTGACATCCATCAGAGCGAGGCTCCTCCCGAGCGTACTTGGATCGAGATCGAGCCCGACATTTCCTCTCCCTCCGACCAGACCGAGTCGTTCACCGTCCTCACGTACAACATCCTCTGCCCTTCCTTTGCCCCCTCGACCTCGTACGCCTACACGCCCGCGTGGGCCCTCGACTGGCAGTACCGCCGAGAGACGCTCCTCGAGGAACTCGTCAACGCTTCTGCTGACATTGTCTGTCTGCAGGAGATTGACAGCGAGCAGTACTCGGAGTGGTTCTACCCCAAGCTCAAGGAGCGGGGCTACGACGGCGCGCACTACCCGCGCACGCGTGCTCGCACCATGTCGGCCGACGATGCCAAGCTCATTGACGGTTGTGCGACGTTCTGGAAGCGGGACAAGTTCCAGCTCATCGAGACGCAGGTCATCGAGTTCAACCAGATTGCTCTGCACAAGACGGACATGCGCACGGAGGACATGTTCAACCGTGTCATGTCGCGCGACAATATCGCGACCGTCGCGCTGCTCGAGTTTATCAAGACTGGAGCTCGTCTCGTCGCCGCCAACGCGCACATCTACTGGGACCACCGGTTCCGAGATGTCAAGCTTGTGCAGATCGGTATGATGATGGAGCGTCTCGAGGAGGTTATGGCCGACTTTGCCTCTTTACCCCCCAAGCCGGCCAGCGAGGACGGACCCGCGCCGCCCAAGTACGACCGGACGCAGAAGGGTCGCGACATCCCGCTCATCATGTGCGTGGACTTGAACTCGCTCGCCAACTCGGGCGTGTACGAGTACATCACCAAGGGCGAGGTGCCGGGCAACCACGAGGACTTTATGGACCACACGTACGGACCGTACACGAACAAGGGCCTGAAGCACGGTCTCGGGCTGAAGTCGTCGTGCGAGAGCTTTGGCGAAATGCGGATGACCAACTACACTCCGACGTTCGCCGAGGCCATCGACTACGTGTTCTACTCGCCGCGCTCGCTCAAGGTGACGAGCGTGCTCGGCGACGTCGACCGCAAGTACCTGAGCCGGGTCGTCGGGTTCCCGAACGCGTACTTCCCCTCGGACCACATCCCCGTGTTCGCCCAGTTCCGTGTCAAGGGCAAGGAGAGCGCGGCCGACAAGCCGACGTACAACTCGTACCATCACTAGAGCTGAGCAGGTACCTGTATCACCACCACTGCCGCCTTATAATAGAGTAGACAACCTTGTTGCTTCATTTTCTGGGCATTTTCCTCTCTCTCTCATCCCCTTTCCGCTCGGAAAGGACCAAGTAGTACCAGCCATAGCCACAACATCTGCCCATTTAGCATCAACAACCAACCAACCCAACCAATCAACATAACATTGGCTCTATCGCGTCGCTAGCTCGCGCCGCTGCCCTTGGTACTACACCTCCGGCAGCGTAGACTGTTTGTGTGTCGAAAGTAAAGTGTACGAGGGAACAAGTATGAATCGTGTCTTGAGTGAATGTTGCATGGTGATTATAGGGACGATCGTACGGTGTCGTGTGCGGCGTGAGGGATGAGCGTGAGTGTCGTCAGGGACTGTGCACATGACGCAAGTCTGGGCTCTCGGTTTCTTCTGGGCCAGTGTCCATTTTTAGCCGCAGCTCGGTGCTGGCGGCGACCTCTGCGTTCCCTGCAGATGCAATTCAGCGGTAGGATGGGTACAACTGTAACCAAGCAGCGGATCCATGATGGAAAAGGCAAGAGAGGCGAATTCGGCGTACGAGCCGCGCCGCTCGCCTTCCCTGCTGAGCCCCACCGAGGGCCCGTCGGGCAGGGGTCTGAAGCAGGGGAAGACTATCGGGTTCGGCCGACAGTGATGTCCTGCCCGCCCCTCCCCATGTGGGTTCCCTCGGTACGGTGTATATCCTCTCGTCCTCTGCGCTCCGCTCTCGGCGCCGTCTCTACACTTACGCGTCAGGCGTCAGACGACCAAGTGCAGGCGTGCAGCGGCCCGTTTTTCGAGACCTAGACCCATGGCCCCTTGATCATCCACGAGCCGCTGCTCCATTTCGACATCTGGTCGCTCCAGCTCGACATCGATCTTGACTCTGCACATCTCTTCAGTGCGTATCACACTCTATCTCTTATCGACGCTAGTGTTTGCGCAGCCACCACCAGCGCTATCGGCACACGAATCCGACACTGGTACCATTTCGGGCCGGCGCGACCGATATCGATAAGTCCCCGCAGCGTCGCCGCCGTTACATTCGGCACCAACAAGTGTTGTGTGCTTACACGTTCGATACATTTGACATACACACACTTTCTCAACATCTTTGCGATCTTGACCGGTGTGATTTCGGGGAAGACAGCGACCGACGGCCACACCGACACCGCTGATTCATCACCGAGCATTCCGCGCTCCAGCTCTCATCATCCCACGTCCCCACGCTCTTTTCGGTCTTGAAGACAGCGCCAATCCGACTCTGCTGATCCCGACTGGGTTTTCTTCTTGCATATAAGCCGACCAGGACGGCAGGCTGATCACCCCGATTGCAGATCACGTTATCCCGGGTCCGAACTGTGAACAATGCCACCGAAGCGGCCAGAACACAACCGCTCCCGCTCTAGCGCAACGGCGCAGCAGCGCCTCTACGTGCCTGCGGGCACGCCTCTCGCCATCGAGGTCGATGAAGGCATGCTCGAGCGAGCCGTCATGAGCCGCCCGGGCACGCCCGACTCGTCTTCCTCCCGATCGCCGCGGTCCCGCTCTCCTCGCGCCAGAAGCAGACCGGTCGGGTCTTCGCTCTCGCCTAACCGGTCGTCGAAGGGGGACGAACGCCGGGTCTCCGACACTGGCTACCTCGCCGACGGCGACGGCACTCCCGGTTCCGGGTTTGAGGGATGGGACGGCGACGAACGTCCAGAGAACCCCCGCACGGCCTCTGCCGATGACTGGGACAATGTGCGAGACGGCAGCATCTCGCGCCGGCCGGCGTGGCGGAAACCAAGCACGCGCTGGGTAATCCCCTTCCTCGTCGGCATCACGTTCAGCATGGGCATCACGACGGCCCCGCGCGCCGAGCTCATCGTTGACATTGCGTGTCTCGTCCACCCGCCCCGGACGCCGAGCAACGCCGTCGCCGGCATCGAGGTCGCGCCAAGGGCCTACACCCACATGCCGGGCACTGGCGCCCAGATTCTGACATTTGCGTCCCCGCCTGATGTCGAGGCTCCCATCCAGGCGCCCGGCAAGCCCGCCCCGATCACGCCGCGCGAGCCTCTGTCTCCGGCCGCGAGGTGGTTCATCGACGCACAGAAGGAGATCAACGAGCACCTGTCCGCTGGAAAGGGCGACGGCTCTCCCGGCCCCGACGGCGACAACAGCAGCTCGCCGCACCCTTATCCCGAGATTGACCCGAAGCTCTGCAAGGAGGACCCCAACGTTGCCTCTGCCGCCGCACAGCTGACCAAGGTTCTGACCATGACTGCTGGGCTCCTGTCGGCGCTGACGACGGGCTTCTGGGCCGGCGTGTCTGACCGCATCGGCCGCCGCAAGATTATGGCGGTGGTGGCGTTTGGCCTGATGCTGAACGACGCCTGCTTCCTCTACTTCTCGAGCCACCCCTGGTTGCTCATGCGGAGCAAGATGTATGTCTTGCTCGTCGGTCCCGTCCTCGACGGACTGCTCGGTGGTCTGTCCACGGTAACAGCCACGATCCACGCCTACGTATCCGACGTGACACCGCCCGGCTCCCGCGCCACCGTCTTCTCGCAGGTCGGCGGCTCGCTCATGCTCGGTCTCCTCTTTGGCCCTGCCACAAGTTCCGCCGTCGTCTACCTCAGCGACAACATGTGAGTACCCCGTCACCTCTGCAATGCTTACAACAGTCTATTCCCATTCTACATCTCGATAGCCCTTCACGCCTTCACGGCAATCATGTTCCGCTTCCTGCTTCCTGAGAGTCTGTCTTCCGAGTCTCGCCTGCAGCTGTCCAAGAAGGCCAAGCTCGCCGCGGAAAGGCGCCGCGAGCGCGACCAGGAGCAGATGCACTGGGAGCGCATGGGCCCTCGGCGCATGGGTTCGGTGTCACCCGGCCCCGAGTCCTCTCCCGGCGACAGCGGATGGTCTCGCCTGCGCGCCGCGACGTCGCGCCACCGCACCGTCCGCCGCTCCATCGGCAGTCTGCGCCGCCTCGTCCGCCGCTCGCTCTGGTTCCTCGAGCCGCTCAAGGTACTCATCCCAGAGAAGATTGACGGCAAGCGGGACTGGAACCTGCCCATTGTGGCCTTCATGCTCTTCCTCGGCAGCTGGATCATGGGCGTTCTCCAGATCAAGTTTATGTACGCCTTCTACGCCTTTGGCTGGGGTACGGCCCAGTTTGGCCCGTATCTGTCCTTCATCGCGCTGTGCCGCGGCACCGTCCTGCTCGGCATCATGCCCGCCGCCATGTACTTTGTCAAGCCGTGGTTCACCGCCCCTTCCGTCGCGGAGCCCGTCACCGTCGAGCCGGCCACCGAGGCGACGCCCCTCCTCCGCGAGACGGAGGGGGCTGGCGCCCCCGCCAACACGTCTGAGGCGACAGACCGCGCCGAGCCCCAGGGCCAGCCGAAACGCTCCCTCTCCCTCGACCTGACGGTCACGAGATTGTGCCTCTTCATCGAGGTCGTCGGCTTCCTCGTGCTCGGCCTGAACGCGGGCAACTCGGCCGTCATCTTCGTCGTCGCGTCGGCGTACCTCACCCTCGGATCTCCCGGTTCCGCCGCGTGCAACTCGCTCGCGCTCGGGTTCCTGCGCAATCAGCGCGACGCGGGCGCGCTCTTTGGCGCCCTCGCCGTGCTCAGCGCTATTGGCAGCGCGCTCCTGTCGCCCATGATCATGGCCAACCTCTTCTCGGCCACCGTTGGCATCTACGCACCCGCCATCTTCCTGTGCGCCGCGGGAATCCTTACTGTTGCCCTCCTGTCTAGCTTTGCGCTACGTATTGGCAGGCACCCCGACGAGGAGAGCGCGCGCGGTAGAGAAACGCAAAGGGGAAAGAGCAGGAGCCGCAGCCGCAGGAGGCACAGGGCTGAGAGGGAGAGGGCCAGAGCCGAGTAGTCGGTGTGTCTTGTTTCGATCTCCACAGTATCATATCTATAAGTAACTTGTAATCGTAGCGTCAAGTCTGGTCACGATGACTCGGATGTTACTTCGTCTTTCTCTTGCATTGTCCTATCAGCCACACCTTCACTCGTGCCAGTGGACGAGGCTGATGCCCATGCCGCTACACTCGGGCTCCTGTTCATGAGGTTCCCAGAGGAGTTGGCCGCTGAGCGGTCCGCTCTTCCGCAGTGCAGGCGAGGCAGTGGGCCGCCTCCGCGCCTCTGCCTGCTGCTAGCTAGCGGCTGGCCGGTGTCTGCTTGTAGCGCACAAGCTTAAGGGCAGCAGAACGTCGGAGCTCGCGGTTGTTCGGCTCGCGTAGCGCGCTGATGGCCCCGTGTCGTCCTGGTAGGTGTGGTCCATCTTGCACCTGGCCGCGACTCCTGGACCCGAGATGGGAATGCAAGGGGCGCAGGAACCGCTCCAGCCTGGCCGCAGGTAGAGATAGTCAGAGAGAGACAGAGAGAGAGAGAGAGAGAGAGAGAGAGAGAGAGAGAGAGAGAGAGAGAGAGAGAGAGAGAGAGAGAGAGAGAGAGAGAGAGAGAGAGAGAGAGAGAGAGAGAGAGAGAGAGAGAGAGAGAGAGAGAGAGAGAGAGAGAGAGAGAGAGAGAGAGAGAGAGAGAGAGAGAGAGAGAGAGAGAGAGAGAGAGAGAGAGAGAGAGAGAGAGAGAGAGAGAGAGAGAGAGAGAGAGAGAGAGAGAGAGAGAGAGAGAGAGAGAGAGAGAGAGAGAGAGAGAGAGAGAGAGAGAGAGAGAGAGAGAGAGAGAGAGAGAGAGAGAGAGAGAGAGAGAGAGAGAGAGAGAGAGAGAGAGAGAGAGAGAGAGAGAGAGAGAGAGAGAGAGAGAGAGAGAGAGAGAGAGAGAGAGAGAGAGAGAGAGAGAGAGAGAGAGAGAGAGAGAGGGCTAATGCCCCGGACACCTTGCCTTGTTGGAACACTTGTCCATACACAGACATACTACGGGTAACTAAACAGTAATTCTCCTATGTCACTCCGCCACACTGTAGCCACTGCTGGCCCTAGGTTCCAGACTGCTTCGCCTTCTCGGCGGCTCGCTTCTTCGCGATTCGCTCGCGATTACCCCGTCTGCTGTTCTCCAGACTGTCGTATGCCTTCCTCTCGGCTGCGCTGGGCTGGAGTCCAGCCGCGAGCGCGGCCTCGGCGCGAGCAGCCAGCTCCTTCCGCTCCTCCCTCTTCTGCTTGTCGCGGTCTACTTGCCGCTGCGTCTTGCGTTGCCGCGCCGTCAGGTCGTTGTCCGTAGCTCCAGCGGCCCTTGCGCGATTGAGGTCGTGGCGGTCGTCCTTGCGGACGACACAACGCTTCCTTGTCTCTCGCTACGTCGTTGCTGCGACGTGTGAGAGCCCTGCGCTGGGCGTCGGGGAGACTGGCTGCGTCGGCGCCGGCGGCGACGGCCTCCTCGGCGATCTTCAGGTTGGCCTTAAACTTGGCCCGGCATCGGTGCTCATAGGAGCGCACCAGCTTGATGTTCGCCTTGCGCCAGCGGCGCAACGTTCGCCAGTGGAGCTCGCTCGAGTAGTACTTGGCCCGAGCCTCTCGGCCTTTGGGAGACAACGCATACGCGCGGCGCCAACGACGGCCCCAGTCGGAGGACCACTTGGAGCGGGCAGCTTGGCGAGCGTTATTGAGGCGGTCGGCAACTGGAAGAGGAGGGAGCCACCTCATTCCTTGGAGGGCAGGCGTCTGCATGTTGGTCCCCGTCGTGGGGCGGTTGGGCCACCACTCGTGACCTGCAGCAGTGGAGAAGTGGCGAGAAGAGGGGTGGAACGAAACACACCACTCATGGCGCACAGCCTGCAACGTCAGCGCTGGTCCTATTGCCGAGACATGAGTGGGACTTACCTCGCATATGTATTGAGAGCAGACGCGCACCGCGGTGAGAACAGCCGAGCGACGGTCGTGGCCGTTGACATCAAATCGAGCATTTAAAAACATCCCCACTTGACCGGGAGCAGCTCGGATGGCCTCGTATATCTTGGCCTTCGTACCGCGGCGGAGAGCCGCGAGATGGGTGACGCTGCGCGCTTCGCCGCCACCGGGGCTGGTCGAGGGCATGGCATTGGCGGATCCTTCGTAGTCGGTCAAGGGAAGATCGGCTGTAGCGAGGAATACCAGCGTGTAGCTCATCCAGCTCTGATCGTTGAACGCTGGAGTCTCTGCGGCCCGCACTTTAATCTGCGCTTCGGTTGGGGGGGAAGCTGCAGCGAGAAGAGCATGCTCTGAGAGCTCGGTGGCGTAGCAGAATACCCTGAACTGCGTTTCGACGGGGACGAGACTCATGATGCGCGTGTAGTTGTTGTTGTAGCCCGAAGTTCGTGAACCAAGTGCGTCGAGGCACTTTTGGAACCGGTACCGGAGGGTGGGGAGCTGGATGGGGGAGATGGTGATGTCGGGGTCGGGAGCGAGAGAAGCGAGGACCTTGATGGCCCTGACGATCTACAGTTGTTAGCAGCAGACAGCAGTGGCCCACGAACCTCGGCCGTGCTGTAGTTCTCGTGCGGCTCCAGGGGGCGGCCGCGCGCCGCGTCGAGCTCGCGCTCGAGATCCTTTGCGACATCGACGGGCACCTTGAAACGGGGTGAAGCAGGAGCGGGCTTCCAAGTCAGTCGTGATCGAAGACGGGAGTAGACTTACGTCGTCGATTCCTAGGAACTTGTTCTCTTGCCCGTAAGTGGACTCGTCCACTTCCCCGTTGCCAGTCGCAGAGAGCAGGTCGTTGACAATCTGCTCCTCGTTCAGAACCTGCGGGATACCATGCTCTTCCTCCTCGTCTTCCTCGTCCTCGGGAAGCTCGCCCTGTTTCGCCATGAACAGGACGAAGTCCTGCTCCTCCTCCTCGGTGGAAGGGCGTTCGGGCTCTGTGGTATCTTCCTCGTCAGAGTCGTCGAGGGAGGCGATGGCGTTGCTGGGGCCCTTGCGGGCTGCCTGGACCCGCCACGACGCCGAGGAAGAGGAAGCGGACAGGCCGGTATCGGATGCACTCATGGCTAAGAATGGAAGAGCGCCAGGTAAGGTCGAACGAAGCTTGCGGCGCGAGGTAGATGCGCCGAGATGGGAGTCGGGAGCAGGAGCAGCGGAGGCGAACTGGAGGCTAGTCGCCAAAGACTTGGGGGCAGCGGCAGCAGATGTCGAAGCTGGCGCGCCAGCGTGCCTGGTCCTGGAAGAACCGAACGTCGATGAGGGGAGATGAAGGTTCGAGTCCGAACCGGCGGCAGCATTCAACGAGCTGGAACAACGCTTCTGAAATATTAGCCAAGCGACGGAGAGCAATGAGGGAGCACTGGGTGGTGACGGGATAGCTCACCTTTGCGCTAGATCCCGCTATGTCATCGTCACTGTCGAAGATTGTGATGGGCTCGTCGTTCTTCTGAAACGTCAGTCAGAGTTGAAGGAGGCAAGAAGGCTGATGAGAACTCACTCTGTGGCCGAGGAAGATTATGTCTTCCTCGTCGCTCTCGACGAGACGAGCCTTGCGACTCTTGGCTTTGCGACTCTGGGGTTGAGTCAGCGGACAGGTTGAAAGGATGGGCGGGAAACAGATTGGGGACAAGAGAAGGTTACCACTTACCATTATCAAGCCGTCAGCCTCAGAAACGATGTACAGGAAGATGATGGGATGGAAAAGAAAGAAGAGGGGGAAGAAGTCTGACAAGACGTGGGGTATCTGAAAGGAGGGAAGACAATACACGTGATACACTCTGGTCGTCAGTGCGCCGCGGCGAGGCTACCACTGTGACGGAAGAGCAGAAGCGAGCAGCGACAGCCCCGAGGGTTGAGCAGAGCTGACTGGATCTGAGTAGCCTTGCGACGACCCCTGGAGGGCGCAAGGTCAATTTACCCAGCGCCAGGACTCGATGACGTCGAGGCCGCTGGCAGCAGCAACGCGTTGGCCCCTCGGATGACCCCTGGCTCTAGCTCTAGCTGCGAGTGCGAACGGTAGGGAGCCCGTCGGGCCGTCGTTCTGGCACACCTGCTAATCCAAACGTGAATTTAGTGGACGGCATGGAACCATGGTACCGGCGGATCACCCCTGCGCCCTCGCAACGCGTCGCGAGCACTGGGTGAGACAGAGCGCATACACAATGCGCAAGCTACTGCAGGCGGCCAGGAGGCCGAGGATACATGGATACAACAGCTGGCTCCTTGATCCTTGAACGTTGGCCGGCGGGCCGGCGAGAGATCGAGAGAGTTCTGGAGCCAAGAGAAGCCACATCGCCACACCTTTCGCTGAGTCACGTGGCACCAGTACACCTTCTCTCAACAGCATTGATCATGCAGGTCATGCAGCCTAGCCGGCGACAACATTAGATGTAACATAGCAGACGGGAGAAGTTCCAGAAGTATTAGGCGCATGTCATGCAGGTGTGAATACCTAGTGGGTTATAGTGCAGCACACTGCCATTCGAGCCTATATATATAGACAGAACTGTAATAAACAGAATGCGGGCGAGTTCTGGTGACACGGCCATTATTACCTCGGTACCTCGAGACCTTGACAGCAGATCCATCGGGATCACCCCTCCACTTTCGATTGTCTCACCAGGCTTCTCCATTGCACCCTTCATCCCGTCACAAGTGCCAAACCCGGCCGCATCCCTGCGCGAAGGCGTCGTTAACTACTCTGACTGAGACTGCGATGACGATGCTCTGCTCTACATCGAGGAGTAAGTATCTCGCAGCAGGGTGAGCTCCGCGTCACCATTGACGTCTGTGCTGATGCTGAGACCGAACCTGCCTAGCCTGTGAAGGGGAAAGTCACCGACGACCTGCTCGAGGCAACTGGCGGCGGGGAGGTTTACTCTATTAACCATTGCGGGGACGACAACCAGCGCAGCCTGGACGTTTGTAACTCTTCACGTTTGACGCGGCTGACTAGACCGCAGGCTCCTCCCCCGCCTCCGTTCCAGATCTCCTCTGACGCCCTTTCGCACACTTCTTCGGCTTAGTATCGTAATACTCTAACTTGCGCCTCGCACACATCTCTCATGCTGTGCGCGTTCGGCTCGCACATGGCTCGCGCACTCCTCCCTCATCGTCGGCTACAGCAATTTCAAGCTCCCAGCGCGTCAGCTGCAGGCGGTCTCACAAGTCCCCGGTCCTGTTTTACCGGGACCTCCTCGCCATTAGACTTCGACAAGCATCTCTTTGAGGGTTAGCGCGCGTTTGCCCCCGCCCTGTGCTACTAAGAGAGTGACCATGGCGATTTGGAAGACAAGGAGAACGACCACGATTGAGAGCAGTGGGAGGAGACCGCTCGAGTCCGCTCGAGGACGACGATGAGGAGCCAGTGGACAGCGATGAGGGCGAAGAGTTCGTTGCGCGTCTGGGCACGCAAACAACAACAAGCTCTTCGGATACGACGAGGAGAGGCCAGCTGACTTGAGTATCTGCTGACCAACAGGATCCTCCGCCCCCTCCTTAAGATCACCTACTTCGACGCTATGAACTTTGAGCACGAACTTGACGCAGCGCGTGGTCGTCCTCTCCGCCGCGATGAGAGCTACTCAAAAGACGAGGTATGCTCCCTGTCACCAAACCATGTGCCCTTGCTGACTGGCAAGCTTGTGAAGGCTATCATCTGCTTCACCGAGATCGCGAAGCGGGCCGGCTACCCCCTCCCCGCCGCCGAGAAGGAGGTCCTGCGTCATCGGGTCGCGGTCGCCGTGGAGCGCATCGAGAAGAGGGTCGCGGCTGTACCGGCATCCACATGCAAGCGTGTTCTGCAGCGCGTCCCCATGGAGGCAAAGCAGGACTTGCTCATGCACGATTCGGAGCCCGAGGAGTATTCGATGCTCGCCGCGGACGAGGCCCCGACCCGTGCGACTCTGCGTCCCCGCGCGCACACCTCACGCGCGTGGCATGGCACCAGCTGGCTTGCGTATCCCCTCATGCTCTTTCGTGGGCCCTCGTTCCGCGTCCGCGGGGTACGTGGGAGGTGCTGGGGCGGCCCGCTCGACCTCGCCCGGTGGCGGTATGTCCCTTGGGTCTAGTTACCTCATTGCAATTCATGATGGCAAATCGACCAAGCTCTAGGCCGTTCGCGACTTCTCCAGAAAAGCTGAGTTTCTTCTCGGGCTGGAGAGTTGATGTGTCCGAGTGTCAGAAGAGATACGCGCTTCTCGATGGCGGGCGAGTCGTGCTCTATCATCTCTAACATCGCATCGAAGTGAGTTTCTTACCCTTACTTCATTCTCGGGCACTGTACAGTAGTTGATATTCCGGGCGGTCAGACACGAGCTGCTTGGATCCTTCCACCACGCGTCTCGCCACGCAGAGGACCCCGTCGCGCTCGACTGGTAGTCCGACCTGCCCCACAAGGGCGCTAACAAGACGGACCCCGCCCTGCAGACGGTACGTGCCCGACCTGCCCTCTCCTTCGCCGAGCGCACCGCCAACGCGCACGCTGCTGCCCGCCTCAAGTGCAGCTCTCCCGATGGATAGGCGCGGGTTGCGGCCTACTGTTCTGCCATTTCCCCGCCGGCACTGCCGCCCGGCATCGCCACACGAACCCGCGCGCCTGCGATAAGAAGCGCTCCCATGCAGCATGCTGGCAATGCTTCGATGTGCAAGGCGCTGGAAGAGGGCATTCATGTTGAGCAGGTCACTTCGGGTTAACAGCACGCTTTCATGACGGCAACAACACGAAGTTCTACGAACTCCTGAGAAGGTTCCCCGGGGGGGAGGGGGGTCTCGCATTATCGTTAAGGTTGGCACCTTGACATCTTCGAGTGCAAGCACCATTGCGCCTTGCTCAACGGTGCGCGCATCGTTCTCTATCACTATTTGAAGTGGGTTTCCCTTCCCTAATTGTCGTCTCGCGCACGGTTGTCGACATCTCAGGCCATCCGCCAGAAGCTGCTGGCCTTGTTCCTCCACTCCTCGCGCCACGCCAAGAAACCCGCGGCATTGGAATGTTCGCCGTAACCTTCTTACCTCGGAATCGACATGACAACTCCGGCGCTCCGGGTTGTTCGCGCCCTTCTCTCCTTGTTATTCGCCCAGCGCACCACGAACGCCCGTACTGCAGCCACAATCAAGTGAAACACGCCCGAGGGGAAGGGAGGGCGGACCGCGTACAGCGGTCCTCTGCCAGTTGTGCGGCTCGACGCTGGTAAGGGGTCTCGCCCCACGTAGGCCGCACGATCAAGCGCCGGCGTGAGGCAAGCAAACCGCGCGTCAAGGTCTACGAGGAGCGGCGGAAGGTCAAGTACAGGGCGAACCTCAAAAGCCCGGAGAAAGCCCTCGCCGCTGGCGACTCCACACCAATACGTCAGAGGGCTAGCGCCTCACAATTGTGCGACACGCAACCGAGCACTCTGGCGACCAGAATTCATCGACCGAGCGTAAGCAAGAGAGGCATTTCTGCGATTACGTCGGCCACGGCTGCTGGTGTCGCTGGCGAGGGCTAGACGCCGGGCAAGTGCATGACCCAGGAGGGCAACGAGTGTGACAAGGACAGGCGTGTCAAGAGCTCGCCATCCTCAGTATGGCAAATCTCGATTTGTGCGAACTTGACGATGTTCTTATCGCCAAGCCCATACCAAGCTCGATCACAGCCAACTTGGTAGCCGGCTCCTCTCCCACCTCGGTTCAAGATCTCCCTTGACGTCGCCGCCAAACCCCAGTGTCAACTCGACACCGCACGTCGTCATCCGGCTTTTCAACGTCCTCGCTTCGGTAGGTCCAAACCCAACACACCGTTGCAACGGCGCTCCTCCTATGCTTCGCCACCGCCTCAGGACGTTTCGTTGAGGCGATCCGTGTCCGCGCAGCGACGTACGACAACGTTGCCACGCACAAGCAGATCACGTTCGAGGTTGTCGCAACTCTGATTCGGCGCCTTCTGTGCCGCCATAAAGGCTCCTGAGCTGCCGCTGCCGTTGCTTGCTGCCACCTTGCCTGTTGCCGGAGCGCATATTAGGATGCAAGCCGCAGAGCCGCCCATCTCAAAGGAGGACTCACAGATGCTCTATGGGATGCAGTACCTTGCCACCGCGACATGTCCAAAGGACGACTACGAGGGTTGCGGGACTAATCTCCGCTCCACGAGTGCCGAGGGTGGCGACTCGCCCGTGTCTACTCATCTTGCCGCCCTTCGCCAAGGAACCAGCTCCAAGACCATGATGCTATTCGTTCCAGCCCAGGATATGCTGCTGCCCTCTCCTAGGCGTTCCGCTCTCCCGACGTTCCGCTTCCGATTGCGAGCGCACAGTGAGAATTCCGCCCTCTTGGCGACCGCGGACCGAGGCGCCAGCACGCAATCGAAGTGATTCTTGCCCTTCACTCAGTTATAGTCACCATGTTGCTGATTGTGCAGAACATCGGCCATGAGTGAGTGGACTGTGTCATCTCACCTCATCGCGACGCACAGCTCTGCCGCGAGTCGCAAGTGATGGTTTGTTCGCTCCACTGTCGGTCCTGTCACCAGCCCGTGAAGTGGTTTCCTCTCCTCCCTCTCGCCGCCCGCGTCAACAGCGCATGCGCAACTGCGTGCCGTAAATGGAGCACGACCTGAGGACTCTGGGGGAGCTCGCGAACGCAGCGTCGCGTGCTATCACAGATCTCCATCGGAACACGCTCAGCCGCTGGCACTCCGCCAACGCCTCCGTGGTCCGCTTGCACTTGCACGAGCACCGCTACCGAGCCAAGTTTCGAGCCAGCCTGGACACCCGCCTTCACCGCCATTGCCGCCGGTGCAGCCCCGACAGACCTTAGCAGCGTGTAGCGCCGTACGCTAGTTCGCCGCACGCATGAGCGCTCGCGCGTCTAGATGCGCAGCACGATGCGCTCCGCCAACACCATGTTCCTCCGACAGGCGGAAGCTGCTGGCGTTGCTGAAGAGGTCATGACTGATGACCAGCGCAAGACGGAGAAGGATGTAGCCCATGACGAAGTGGACCGTCGGACGCGCAACATGGTCGCGCCAGGGCTGCTATCACGACAGAAGCCGGCGGCAACTTGACTGAGGTGCTCCGAAAGGCGTACGGCAATCCGATGGAGCCCCATTGCAAGCGTACCGGAATCTGGCGGTTCAAGGTGAAGCAACAGTCTGAACGACGTACTGTAGTGTTCAATAGGAGACAGTCAGACTATAAGCTATGCAAGTGTATACTATTTGACGCAGATGAGGTCGCATCGGACAAAGTAAGTGGAGAAGAGGAAGCAGATGTGTAGAACTCAACAACAAGCGCTGCATATCAAGCGAACGAATGAGACGTAACACCGGGAGTGGAGGGACGCAATCGGAAGCTTGTCAGGTAGTCAATCCTCAAAAAATCACCTTGCCAACACCGTCTACGGATCCGCAGGTCTGCGGACATCAGATCTTCCGCACATAGTGAAGTGTGGCTTGCCGCTCATCGCGTGCCAATCAGCCAAGTATTCTCCCGCCGTCCGTCATCGCAATCACAAGCGGACTGGTGCTGCGGTGACGAGCCAATACATCACAGTCGTGTCGCCTACCCTGGCTGGTGTCTACTATTCCTATATGCACCTCGTCATGATGCAATCGGGCTCCTAAGAACGTTATAAGGAGAACTTCACATGAATATGGTATCTACGAGCTTTCTAGTGTGAGGACGGGGGTATTGGGGAGTAAGGCAGGGCGAGCTGGGCGACGAGCACATCGTCCCAACTGAAGAGCGCCTACTTGCGAGGCTCCAGCTTGATCATTCCGTGAAGAGGCAGGACAATCATGGTCTGATAGTTCGTCTCGGGGAACTGAGGGGCACCGGGCTCAACCTTGAAGGTGCGAATAATCTCCGACACGAGCATGGTGAGTTGCAAGTACGCGAACTGCTCGCCGACACAACGATGACGACCAGCACCGAAGGGCTGGTAGGGCGACTCGGTGCCCTTTGAGACGGCGCCGAAACCGTAGTCGACCCTCTCTCCCGAGGTGTACTCCTCGTTGGCAGCGTTGGCCACCCCACCCTCTTCAAGCCACCTGCGAGGGCGCCATGTCTTGGCATCCTTCCAGATCCTAGGGTCCATCTGGGAGACGCCGGGAGCAGCAACAATAAAATGGCCCTTGGGAATGACATACGTGCCGTCCTTAGAGGGAGCGGCGAGCGAGGGAGGCACTGCGATGTCCAGCATGACCTTGCGATAGATGGAGTGAATGGGGGCATGCTGAGAACTGTCAGTTGTCGGGCGAGCGAAGTAAACGCGGAAACTCACCAGGCGCAGCGTCTCACGGATACAGGCCGTCATGAGCGGGAGCTCCCTCGTGTCCTCCAGTGTCATCTCACGGAACGAGCCGTCCGCGTTTCCGAAGAGTTGGACCTGTTCGTCGTAAAGAGCCTGCTGAAGTTCTTGGTCGTACGCAAGGTGGAGAAGGAACCAGGAGGACGTAGCACTGCTCGTATGGGAGCCTGCCATGAGAATCGCTATCTTTTTTTGACGTCAGCACGAAGAAACGAGTAGAAAGAGCGAGCAGAAGTCGTAAGAAGATGATCGGGTGGTGTTGGGTTGGAGTGCCACCATGGTGCCACACAACATCACGTGACCTCCACCTCCACCTCCACCGCACTCAGCCAGCCAGCCAACCCAGCCAGCAGCCAGTCAAGCCAGCTGGCTGCGAGCGGACTGCACTGAGACTGCCAGACTTGAGGGCACAACTTCTACTGCACGCAAGACTTACCATGATGTGCGAGATGTCACGGTCAGAAAGGGGGACGCCGTTCTTGTAGACGGAACCCTGGAGGGCGGCGATCATGTCGTTCTCGTGGTCGTGCTCACCGGAGCGGCGCTTCTCAATGATGGACATGTAGAAATCGCTCATCTCCTTCTGGGCCTTGTCGCGGCGCTTGTACGAGGGCAGGGGAAGGTTGGGGAACAGGAAGTTGACCGGGGTGAAGCCCTTGTCGAGGTCCTCGAGGAGCTTGGCGAAGCGGATGTCGAGGTTCTCGCGGACCTCCTTGCCCTGCAGCGTGCGCGAGGCGGTGAGAATGATGAGCTGCTGCATCATCTCGAGCACCTCGAAGGGCTTTCCGGTCACGACGTGGTCGCGGAAGTACTGGCGGGTCTCGCCGCGCATGAGCTCGGCATAGGACGAGAGCGCCTCGGTGGTCAGGCCGTGCTTGATCTGGGCGTTAGTCGGGTTTCGCCGGAAAGTTCGGGCTGGCGTCGAGCGAGGCATCGGGCTTCCCGAAGCTGATCTGCAGAAGCAGCAGACTCGGCTTCTGCTCTGAGACACAGGAGAGCCGAGCTTGGCGCGCAGCCGAGCGCTCAAAGCTACTCACGAACTTCTTCTGCTGCATGAGCATGTCGTTGGGGCAGTCGTACACGACGCCCTTGCCGAAGACGGGAGTGGTCAGGTGGGTGTACGCCTCCTCGGCCGAAACGTGAGTGATCTTGCCGCCGAGCGAGAGGTTGTTGCCCTTGGGTCCGAGAGCGACAGTCATGCGGCGTCCGAGCAGGATAAAGGTGAACACGTCTCCGTACTTCTCACGGCAGTCGAAGAGGAACTTGTACGGGTCCATACCGTAGGCAGCGGCCGAACCGAACCAGGGGATAACGTGGAAGACCACGGGCGGGAGCGTCGGGTCCTTGGGCAGGAGCTGTTGTTAGCATATCCTGAGGGTGTCACTAGGAGCGAGCGTAGAGCCGCAAGCAGAGCATCTGCAGAGGCTGACAGACGGCCGCTAATGCTGGACACGGCACACACGCCTGGTCCCCTGTGTACATTTCAACGTCACAAGAGTTTCCCAACTATGATGACGCTACTCTGATGCGTTGAGACCCATCCAGTCATACTCACCAGCTGGGAGAGCACATTGATCACAATGGCGAGCACGGGCAATCCGATAAAGACGGCCGCGAGCTTCTGGGCAAGCGGGAGCGCGAGCGCCGCCTCAATGGCGCCTTGGACGATCGACATGGTTGTCTACTCGGTCGGTCGGGTCGAGGGGTGGTGGTATCGAGCAACAACGAGACAAAGTAGAGTGTGTAGTCCAGTACCAACTTTAAGCAGACTGACAGTCGACAACAAGAACCTCGCCCTGCGATTATGATACGACCCAGACCCCGTTGGTTGGTTCTTGTGCATCCCTGAATCGTGCGATTGCACGCTCGCCGGAGGGGCCCGGCAGCCCAAGCATGCAGCCGCTGCAGGCGCGTCGCGTCCCAGCAGCCAGCCATGGTGCCATCACCACTCTAGCTCCGGGTCACCCGGGCACCGCGGGCGGGCGCCTTCCCTATTCAGATTTGGTCGTGCCACATTTTTTCGACCTTGGCTCCTTAGGGATCGACGTGTCAGAAAAAAATCGTCGTACCATCTTTTTGCTCCTGGACCTCGAATCAGGTCCCGCTTTTGCCCGATTCAATGCGGACTCTTGGGCTTATCTCCGTGCCACGCTTAATGCACGTGATGTGATGTCACACGCCGAATGCACCGGCTGCCGAACCGGGAGGTTCAGTGCGCCAAGCCGCGACATTGCTGACGCAGTCCTCCCAAGATGTCAGGCGCGCTCACGTTCGAGACACTACTAGCATCGCATATCATAATGGTTAATGAGGTACTGATAATTGTACGGAGGTAGCTCGCCAGCTCGCGGCTGGACAAGCGACCATGCAGAACATTACAACTCGCACACGGGAACGCTAGACTAAGCTGGCTCCCTCTTGCAGTGCACATCGTCGTCGAGCTCGTCCTCCTCGTCCGTCACCCATTCGCCTCCGGGCCCTGAACCGCCACGCCCGGGTCCGAACCCGTTCCGATCCGGTCGTCGACCGCCAGCGCTAGCGTTGCCGCCAGGCGCTGGTCCGCCTGGCCCAGGGGGTCCCGGTGGGCCAGGTCGGTAGTGCATCGGTCCTACGTCATGCGGAGGTGGACCATGAGCAGGTCCGCCGGGTCCCCCGCGGTGAGGCGGCATGTCGTAGGGGTGGTTCATGAACGGCGGCGGTGGACCATGATAGCCCGGTCCGTTGGGAGGACCGCCCATCGGCGGGTGGCCCATGTGAGGTCCAGGGTGAGGCGGGCGCCCAGCGTAATTGTACACCGGGGGCGGTGGCGGGTGGCCCATCGGTCCACCCATATGTCCCGGATGTGGTGGCGGCACACTTCGCTGATGCGCCTGATGCGCCATCTGCGAAGCCTGCGCCTGCTGCGCCTGGATTTGATGAACCTTGGCGTGCCGCTTCAGGTTCGACTGCACAGAGAACCGTCGTCGACAAGTCGGTTCCTTGCACACGTAGGGTCGCTCACCAGTGTCTAAGGGAAACATTAGCCATAATTCGATGCACACAAACAGTCTGAGCACTTACGAGAGTACGTGTGGATCCTCAATGACGACGGTCGGGAGAACGTCTTGTGACAAAACTGGCACGTGTACTTGGGTCCGGTGCTTGACCCGCTCGCCTTTGGCGGCGACGACTCCATGTCGCCGTTGCTGCTGGCATTGTTGCTCGAGACCGCCTTGTTGCGCTCCGCGTCCGCAACGCGTCGTGCAGATTCAGCGAGGACCTCCATGCCGTGCATTCCCGGGTCTCCCTTGACGTCGAGTTCATCGTCGTCCGCTCCGCCGACAGTAGAGGCGAAAGACGACCGTCGAATGTCGACCATTGGCTTGGGCGTCGATGCTGCTGATCCTCGGCGACTGTTGTGCGCAGCGAGTCGCTTGGGAGACAACGGATCCGAAAAGGCGGGTACCGACTGAATCGAGAGCGCAGACTCGGTGGATTCACGTCGAGGTGCGAGGTGGAACAGTTTGGGAGACCCGGCGTCACCATTCTTAACGGGCGGGGTCGAGAGATACTGATTCTCCTTGGAACGGCGCATGGCGACGTCGTCACCGCTCTGCGCCATGATTAGCTCCGCAAGAGACGACCTGCGCGGGGCGCCTTGCTTGCTGGAGGGTTCGGGCGAAGGGGGTCGTGTCAAAGAGCGACCAGGGTGATCGTCCGGAGCCACTAGGCTAGCGACGGACTCTCGGCGGCTCGAAGGCAGGGGCGGAATCGAGTCGTTTGATCGCCGGGACAAGGTCGACGGCCGTCGGTCGGACGGTCCGCTGTCGTTGGCAGAAAGCTCAGCAAACGAGCGGGCCAGCGGTCCAGTCATGGGCGAGTTGCGCATCGACGAAGAGTGGTAGTCGCTGTCGAAACGGGACTCGATGGATGGCGACAGAGGCGAAGGCAGGTTGCCCGAGATCGATCCTCGAGAACCAGAGGCGATGGGAGGATAGAGCATGGTGCGCAGTCCGTGACCAAACCCAGGACCGCCCGACACAGATCCGGAGCCCGAGACGGGGAACGAAGCATTCCTGCTCTGCGCCTGCCACTTCAAGCGCGCCACCTCATCAGCATCCTCGAGCGCGGGCGGAAGATCAGACCGGCGTCGCTTAAAGTCGGGCTCCTCATTGAGCGGACCCCGACTGAATGATCCGCGCGGCTGCGATGCGCTTGAGAATGAACCAGAGCGATCCCGGTCGTCGGGCGCCCACCATCCAGGCTCAGACGAGGCGAAAGACGAGAAGCGAGACGTGCGCGAACGTGGCGAGTCGAGGGGCGAAACGGCGGATGAAGCAGAGGCAGCGGTCGGAGATGAGAACAGAGAGTTGCCGAACGGCGAGGACAGGAGCGGAGGTTGGTCCGCGACATTGAGGAGAGCCTTGATGCCCGGGAGACTAACACTTTCGCCCGAGTCCTGCCGAGACGGTGGTTGCTGTTGCTGCTTCTCGTGCGGGGCAACGTCCTCTCGTATTCTGCGGAGGGGATGTCTCGAGCCCAGGTCGCCGTGGGACTGTTCATCTTCATTAGTGGGAGAGGCAGAGGTGTCCATGGGGTCAAAGCGGGAAGCCCTGCGGATCATAGTGGGCGGACGTGCACCCGGCGGGGGGATGGATGACTGCCTGAACTGGAATCGGCGGGGCGACTGTTGGGGGGTGGATGCTGCGGTGTGGGTGGGAGATGCGAGGGGGGTACGCGAGTCTACCGGGTCGACTGGGTCGTGGAGGTGTGCATTGGGGTGAGGAAGTTGTTGCCTGGCTGCGACGGTAGCCACGGTGGGCATGGTCGGCGGTGGGTGGTGAGTGTCGGGCGCGGTGGCCGGAGCTGGTGGTGAGGCTGGATCGAGTGCGTGACGGATGCGATGGTCGATGCGTTTCGTTGGTGGATGGTAGATGGTGGGGAAAGAAAGGAAGTGGTTGTGGATGTTGAGGTGGCAAGAGGATGGATGTAAGAACCGATGAACCGAGTGCCCGAGTGTCGATCAGGAGACAAAGTGAGAGGGGGCAGAAGACGGCAGGGAAGGGGGAGGATCGAGGTACAGGGTGAGGGGGGTCCAGGGTTGGAAAGGGAGGGGGGAGCGTGAGGGTCACCAGAGCAGAGGGGGTGCACCGTCGTGGTCGGGCGAGGCGGACGAGCAGAGGGCGGACACGACCCAGGCAGGCGATCAGAGGACGTGGGGGGCCGGGGACGCGCGAATTTCGACACGATGCGAGTATTTGTTTTTGAGGATTACGATTCCCGGATTAGAGGATTACAGCACACCACACACACACAAGCACAACAAGCATTCGTTCGGTCCCAGATGACGGCACCAGGGCACCAGGGCACAGCAGTCACACCCCAGCCAACCATCATCCATCATGCCATCATGGCAGTCACAACGGCGTTTAATCGGCACCACCGAGCAAACACGGTCAGCGACACCACAGTCCGCACCGATCGTCGTTTGTGTCGACCGTTACGTCGCCGCAGATCCAGCGCACGGAATGCACATGTCCGCACATTCACCACACACCATTGTCACGAGCCACACAGTCAGTCAGAACGGAACGCACCGGCGCACGTAGAGTTTACCACCGAGTGGGGCCAGATCAATGTGGAGCCGGCCGGGCGGAAACGCAAGTCGATCAAGCGAGGTGAAGGGCCACCGGTGGGTCAGCGGGGATCGAGCGATCGTCGGTCGTCAAATTAAAACGAGCCACCGTGCGGAAATGACGGGCAGGTCGGATGGACATCGACGGCGATCAAGGCGATAGGCGAAGCAGATGCGATGGGAGATAGGGGTAGGGGAAGCAATGATTTGCAAGAAGAACGCATGTCAGCACGCAGTCACAGCACACGATACACAGCAAGGGAAGAGCACTCGCAGCACGTCCCACTCGAGCGATCCAGTCATCAAGTGCGGATGCTGCGGGAGCGGTGCGGCATGGGGAATGAGGCGGGGACGGCCCACTCGGCGACCTCGGACAGCGAACAGCGTGTGGAGATCGGATCTATGAGGCTTGAGGCATCATGCTTTGCTATGCACATGCGCGCCACCGAAGTACCGAGACCCATCCCCGTAGCACAGAGCTTGATAGACCTCCCGGAAGAACTCTGAAATCTCTGGCCAATGACACAAGCCTCAAACTCGGTCTTGGGACAATGATCCACACTGGGACTGCGGGGCTGCACATGCTCACATGCACACAAGGGTGGGGGACACCGGGCTCCGGACGTCACAGAAGCGACACCGAACTCTGCCGGCTGTGCCGAACGCCGCAGGCGATTCTGGCGAGCATCGCTCCCATCGCATGCCAACACGCCCAACATGTGACAGACAATAAGAAGCAATGACCGCTAGAGGCCAGTGGTCGGCGCAGAGCACAATGGGCGCATCATAGTGGGTCGTGCCAGCCAGAAGGCCAGGATGGCCAGGAGCAGCCAGGATCGCAGATGAGAGCATAATAGAAAAATGCGGCTCGCTTACGCCTGCGCGCTCGCGACCTCGGCGTCTGCAGTCCCGAGCCCAGGACCGCCTCGGCCCTCGGGCCATGCATGCCATGCGCCGCCACCAGCCCAGATCCACATAGTGGGCCATCGGACTTGGACGGCAGAACATGACATGCGATGCAGAGTCCGGCACGGCCAGGAGGTCAGAGCACGACGCCTCAAATTTCAAGTCGGTGTCTCTCCAGGCGATCTACTGATCCACTCAAGAAGATCCGGAGATCATTCAAAAGGATCCGCAGAGATCGTCCTCGTCGCCACCCCATTCATCCCACCGACCGATCCATTCATGCACCACGAAATGCCCAATACGCAAATGCGCGGAATGCACATTCAGAGCATAGGACAGATCGTTGGAGCAGGGTGAAGCACTCTGCATGTAAGGCAACAAGCCGGGTGCCCCTTCACCGCCCATGGTGCTCCATGTCCCGCAGATCATTTTCTGGCCCCCTCCGCAGCCCACACACAACCGTAGACACCGGATCCGGCCCAAGCGCCGCTCGAGCCACCGTCTGTGAACAAGACAAGTACTTACCGGGAGATTAAGAGTTGCACGCGTGATGCAACGAGATTGTTTCCGGATCGAAAGCAGAAGGTCGACGAAAAATCGATGTTGGAGGGAAGAAGGATGGAGAAAGAGTAGATGTTGAGGTTCACCAAGGTCGGAATGCTATGTTGCTCGAGGGAAAGTGCTGCGCAGGTGATCGGTTTCCACGCCGATTGGGTTCACTGGCGTCCTCTTGAGCTCTTGAGGATGGTGCACGCGCGGTGAGATCGCCAAGATCGACGTGCAAGGGGGTCGATAGCAGACGGTTGTCGGCCTTTGAGCAAAACCTCTCGCGTCGTTGGAAGCGGCGGAACGGCACTTAGACGACGGATGACAATGATCCGAGGTGCCAGCGATAATGTAAAGAGAATGAAGAGGTTTGCAGAAACGGCCGACGATCGGCGGACGGAACAGCCGGTTACAGACGGTCTCGATGTTGCAAGTGACGAGCTGAAACTGGCGAAACGGGCTGAACTTTGGCTCGACCTTGGCTCGACTTGGCTCGAACTTGGCTAGCCGTGGTGTTGGAGCTAGACTGTGGGCCGAGTGAATGCAAAAGGGTTCAGAGTGCTCGGCTGTGGGGACGTTGGACAGGTCGCGGGACAGCGGTTAGATGCAGGCAGAGTCGAGAGGTTGGGATGGGTCTGGACCAGACTGGGCTGAATGAGCGCCTGAGTGACAGTCGATGGGAAGTCGGGATACAAGACAGATGCGTCGCTGGTGCGCCCGTGTGTGTGTCGAGAGTCGGTGATGATCTGCCCGGGCGTGCGGGAAGCGGAGTGTAGGCGTGTGAGGGATAGATGATCAGATGAGTCGGTAGATTGCGAGATGTGTGGAACGGCAAAGACGAAAAGAAGCAAGGGTAGACGACGGGAAACTAACTGAACGGCTAGTACCGCCAGAGTGCGGGGCCGGTGCAGTAGCTTATTGCCAGAGAGCGTCTGTCGTTCACTTCCCCTTCAAGTCGTTATACGACTACTAGCGCGCGGGTCACGTCACAGCACTGTGCGTGGATGCTTTGCAGGAATGCGCAGGAATGTAGTGACCCAGGTGCTGCAAGTTCCGAGAAACCGAGACTCAAACCTTGTCAGGTGCACGACTCGTGGCTACTGGGGCCGCAAAGCTAGATGGCACGGCGAAAAGCAAGATGAGCAAGTACAGGCACAGTCGATACCTAAATCGGGCAACCTCGCGGTACAGGGAACGTAGCGTCGTGCGGAATCGAGAGGAACGATGACCGGGTTGAGAGTGGGGGAAGAGTTGAGTAAGACTGGGGGTATGTGGGGTTGATCAGATGATTGATGGGAGGAACAGGGCCAAAATGGAGAAAGCCGATGGAGGGACGAGCCTGATTATGGTATGTCAATCCACGAGACACGGGGGCCGGCACAGATGGCGTGGGTGTAACTGGAAGTACCTCGCACTCTGCGTCTGCGTGGCTGTGGGAGCTGCCAGTCTTCGATAGACCTTAACAGGGGCGGAGGAGGATAGCGCTGCTATAACGCAGACTTTTTCCCGGTCGGAGATCGCCCTACGATAGGGGAGGTTGGGAGAAGGGCAGGGAGGGTGCTCAGCTATTGAGTTGGCGGCTTGCTCGATTGCGGGTGAAAGCTCGGTCGTGCGTCTATCGCTACGCCGAGGTGCCCGGATGTTGTGAGGGAGGGAGACAAACCCAGGAGTTGACGGCGGATGATCTCGACGGATAATCAAAGAAAGGTTGAGTCGGAACTGCGGGGTCGAGAGGGGTGATTACGGCGTGGTGAGGTATGTAACAGGTGAGGGTCGCGATCAGCAGGAGTTGGGTGGTGTGACAATGCCGAAACCAAGGTCGCAGATCGATGTGGGTCGTCGAGAGTAAGTGTCAACTTGTCAACTTGGAAGCAAGGGTAGTCGCAGTTCAATGAAGTGTCGACGAGAGAAGGGCCACAGATCAGCTGAACCGGAAAGCGGGCGTGTTGCCGCGAGCTGCAGCTGGCTCACTGGCCACTTCGAGTATGAATGGGGCACACGGGCTGACCGGATGAGTGGGCTGAGGGCTGGCGAACGCCCGTCTGACCTGCATATCCTGTCTGTCCTGGGCGGAAGGCTGCGGCTCGTAGTCACTTCATTGTGCGCCCCCTACGTTGTGTCGCAAACTGGGTCGACCGACCAGTCAATGTTCAACTTTTTCTGCTGATTCCTGCAGAACACAGGATGCTCTGGGGGTACCTATCGAAGTATTTCCTGAACACCCTTTTGAGCAACTCAGGTGTCGCAGACTGTGGCACCGGGGCAGGGCCCTAACGGTGCGGGTTTGTTCCTCTAGCGTATTGCATGGCGTAGCTGGCGTAAATGAAGTAACATCTGGGTCTTGTTGACAGCGAAAGTCAGCACGAGGACTGAGTGCATACAGCAGGTAGCAGGTTGACTCAGGAGTGTCAGTTCTGCAGGAAAACTGGGCGGACACCAGCCTTTCGCCCAATGACAGGAAGCGGACCAGAGGCTCACATTCCGCTACGAGACTCCCAGTCCCTAGACAGTCATTCACTCCGGACACCAACCAACCTACGACATCTTCGGAAGGGTGGGTCAGGTACCGCATCGCAGATACTCCTCTTGCTCTGCGAGCCTGGCAAGGCCCTTGGAGTTCCCTGCACGAGGCCCGGTCATACCTGAGGGCGCTGGGGATGCTACTACCCACTCTTTGCGGCTGACGACGGTACCGGCTACTGCAGAGCCACTGACGCGCATTCACACTCACTGCCTGG